TTGGGCGGCGGTGGGGCGGGGCGAGGGCGGGGCGAGGCGCCGGAGCGGGTCTAGCTTGACCATCTTAAGGACGGCGAGGTAGACCTGCCCGGCCCAGGTGATTGCGCACCTGGGCGGTGGGGACGGGAGGTGAGGCCAACGACGGGAGGAGAGGGCGGGAGGAGAGGGCGGGAGGAGAGGGCGGGAGGAGAGGAGTGGCGGCGGAGCTGCGATGGGAGGAGAGAGGTCGCGGGCAGCCGCTCGCCCGTGAATCACACACAAGCAGGCGTACCCGACCGGGACCATGCGCGACGGGATGGAGCCCGCGTTGCCCCACACGAAGGCGGGGTCGGCCAGTCGAATGCCCCCGACCTGCGGGTGCGCACGCGGGCGCACGCGGGCGCAGAGGTGAGGGGCAAGGGGAGGGCGGCGGAGAGCGTTGGGTCGCTGACACTTCGTGGAAGTGTCTGTGAAGTGTCTGTGAAGTGAGCGAGGGGTCGCTGACCCAGAAGCGAGTGTACATAAAGGTCAGCGCGAAGGCCGCCTTGATGGCGGGCACGAAGCCAGGGGGCCCCCGCCTGCCGACAAGGTTGTGCAGGGCGAGGAGCAGAGTCGCGACCTGCGCCGAGCGAGGAGGAGCGAGGCGCGGGAGTGGGCCGAGGCGCGGAGGCAGGAGGCCGAGGAGGCGGCGGCGCGGCATCGGCGTCGCATGCTCGGGATCGACGCGACGACAGCGCACGGCAGGCGGTTCGCGAGGCGCGCACCTCGACCGCCAGTCCCTCGCGGATGATCGGGTCGAAGGTTGGCCAAGCGAGATAGAGGAGCGTCACGCCGAGGTTGGCGAGGTGGTGGACGCGCATCACCGAGGCCATGTCGGGCTGCAGCAGCAGTTCGGCCACCATCTGAACCGCCATCAGAACATATGGCCAGAACAGCGGCACCGACGGCAGGAAGTAGACGGCGCTGAAGGTGCCCGCACAGGCGACGGTGAAGGCATTCATGGCGTCGGATGCCTTCTCGGGCCTCCGCTCGTCGGCCTGGCGAGACGCGCCCGCCGACTGGTCCGTCGCGGTGTGGGCCACGGCCCGCCGCGACGTGGGCGCCATCGAACCGCCGGCGTTCGGCCCACTAGGGTGGCCGCGGCGAGGAAGAGAATTCCGAGGCTACGTCAGCATTCTTTCTTTTCTAGAAGATTGCAGCGAGAAGCGGCGAGAGACTGCGAAGAGAGATAGGAAGAGGCAGACTCCCTAGGGTGGGCGACGGCTAGCGCACCACACACCTCTCCTTAAAATCCCTGTGTGGTGGCGGCGTGCCGTCCTCCCATCCCTCCCTTGGGTTGTCTGTTTTCTTTCTTTCTTTCTTTTTCTTTTCTAGGGACAGAAGGATTTCCAAATCGCAGTGAGGAGTTCACGCCTGGGCCCGAGCCGCTAGGGCGACAAGACGACAAGAGAGGCGCAGAGGGCGGTGAAGTGCGGTGAGGGGCCGAAGTCGAATAGGAAGAGAATTGAGACTGGAAGCGATCTCAATCAGGACGGCCGGCGGGCGAGCAGAGATCGTCTGCCAGTGCATCAAACGTGAGGACGCTCCATAGGATGCGGGCGGCGACCATCAGCAGCGTGTTACCGCTCACCCCGTCACGAGTGAAGGTCGCATCCACCCTCCCGCCGCCGTCGAGCCACGCCAGCACCGCTGCGCCGTCGCTTTGCCAAGCCGCAGCCAGGCAGCCACGATCTCGTCGGGAACGCTGCCCGCAGCGCCCTCCGCGCCACCAGAAGAGGACGCGTCAGTCGCTACCGACCTACCGTGGCTGCCCCCGATGCGCAAAGAAGAATTTACGTACGACCCAGTGTTGTGCAAAAAAGAAAATCGTAACCCCCTGGATGGCGCCTGCCGCGACAGCGCGTGCGTGGCTCGCGTCCGCTCTGCTCGTCTGCTCCTTGGCCTCGGCCGGAGCGCGGACGCAGCGCGACATCGCCAAGAAGACTGCTCAGATGACCGAGGAGGACTGGCGCCGCGTCGAGGAGGAGTGGGAGACGCCCGAGGAGAGCGCGAGCGACGGCCCTGCTGCCCGTTTCGAGTATTCGCGCTCACCCTTCGCTGCTAGCGCCGCAGGAGAAGGAGGAGTACGAGTTCAAGCCGCCAAAGGCGCGCGGTCTGGACGTGGAGAAGCTGCAGCGCGAGAAGGACCCGAAGAAGCGGCAGCGAATGGTCGAGGACTCGCAAAAGACGACAGGGCCGACGATGATCTTTGCGACGGTCGACTACCCCGGCTGCTGCGAGGATAAGACCGGCACTGAGGAGATTGCAAAACGGTGCGCCGCGGCGTGCGCGCGCGGTCTGGCGCGGAGGCGAGAGAGCGGTCGCCTCTGTTTGCGCAGGTGGAATGCGCTGCTGGGCTCAAAGGGGATGGATGCGCAGGCGTACGTCGTCGACAACGCGACGATCCTCTTCTCGACCAACCATGGCCTGTTCGCCGACGAGGTGGCGCCGCCGCGCCCGCCTGTGCTCGCACTTGCGCAGCCGACCGCCTCGCCGCCGCCTCTGCTCAGATTGTCGAGTTTGCGCTCGAGCAGCCGGAGTGTGTCGCCACCGACTGGAACAGCAAGCGCTCGGGCGGTTGGTCGGGCGTGCCCAGCGGCCTGTCCTCTCGCTGACAGCGCGCCCTGCCCGCGTAGGCGGACGCCGGGCCCGGCGGAGACGCCCGAGTGGAAGGCGAAGGACGAGGTGCGCAAGGCTGCAAAGGCAAAGGCGGACGCAGAGGCGAAGGCGGCCAAGGAGGCGGCGGAGAAGGCGGCCAAGCGGGCTAAGCGGAGGAGGAGGAGGAAGAAGCGGGAGGCCAAGCAGAAGGATGAAGTGTAGTCACCTCATTCTTCTGCTGGGGCGGCGGTGGAGACGGAATGAGAGCCGTACACACACACAGGCGAGAGAGGCGTGGGCGCACATGCTCTAGGCGCACAAATGCACTATGCAGCGCCGCGGAAACATTATCCCGGGGCGGGGCCGATGTGGCGAAAGAGTGCTTATTAGGGAAAGGCGACATGCACGTGACATTTTGACCGCGGTGTCACGCAATGTGACAAAAAAGTTGAGTTCTCTCTCTGCGCTTGCAGCGTGTGGTTTCGGCTTTCGCGCGTAAGCGGGCGCGGCGCGCATCGCGCGGCCGTGCTCACAGCCGGCTCCGCGACTGCGGCTGTAGGGAAGACCAGCACCGCGCCGCCGCCTGCTCTCCCGTCTCCATCGCGCCGTGGATGCACGGGTTGACGCCGGCGTGGCACGCCTCGCCCGCGAGGAAGACGCAGCCGTGCGCCGCCTCCCCCAGCGCGGGCCGCGCGCCATGCGCGCCGCGCGTCGGGTGCGAGTAGGCGCCGTGGACGTGGGGGTGGGCGGCCCAGTCCTTGACGAGGAAGCCGTCGCAGCTGCTGCTCGCGGGGTGGGGGTCGTCGCTGCTGCCAAACATCCCGTCGAGCTGGGCGAGCATCCGGCGAGCGATGTCTGCGTGCGGCAGCCTCCCCACCCGCTCCGCCCGCGCGCCCGCCACAAAGCCGACGATGGTGTAGGGCGGCGCCGCGTCGGGCCGCATCAGCTCGGCGGCGGGAGAGAGCCACACCTCCGGCAGGAACGAGTCGGAGCAGACGGCGTCGTAAAAGTCGGCCGGCCAGAAGCGGCGCCGCAGCCTCACGATCACCTTGAGCGCGGACCCCATCTTGAGCTTGCGAATCGCTCCTGCCTGCGGCGGCGGCAGCGGCGGCCGAAACTCCGGCTCCCCCCGCTGCAGTACGGACAGCGGCACGGTGACGACGCAGGCGCGCGCGCGCACCACTCGGCCGTCGGCGGCGCTGAGCTCGACGGCGGCGCCTACTCCCCGCCAGCGAGCGCTCCGCCGAGCGAGGCGGGGGAAGGGGCGGGAGGGGGCGGTGCAGGGGCGGCACCGTCCGCGCCCCAGCCGGTCGGAGACGCGTCGATGCGCTGCACGCGCCACGCTGTCCGCACGTCCAGGCCGCGACCGAGCGACTCCATCGCGTCCTAGAGGCGCCCGCTCGGTGACACGTCCATGCTTTGTAGGGAGGCGGCCCTCGGCGCCGCAGCGGTCGCGAGCGGCTCACCACCTCGCCGCCTCGCAGCACGAGGTACTTCTCTTCTCTTCTCTTCTCTTCTCTTCTCTTCTCTCCGCCTGCAGGCACGCGCCCCGCAGCACCAGGTACTTCTCGCCGTACGTCCAGTGGCGCTGCTCGTGCATCACCTCGTGCAGCCCGACCTGCGGGGCGGGCGAGTGTGGCGGCGGTCGTGAGAGTCAGAAGAGGCTCTCCTCTTGCCTCCAATCGAGGTGGTGGGACTAGAGGGCGTAGCGGCGGCGCACATCCGACATGTCCGCGCCGTAGTCGTTGGCAAAGATGGCATCGGCCAGGTCGAGCACGCGCGAGGAGAGGCCGCAGCTGGCAAAGTACTGCAGCAGCGTCGGCTCCTCCTCCGCCTCCGCTCCGCAGGGCGGAGGAGCCATCTCACCTGCCAAAGCGGGCACGGCCGGCGGTGGGTGCGTGAGGGACGAGCCGAGAAAGTGGCTGGCGAGATCTCGCCGAGCTTCTCGAAGCTCTCGTGCATCAGTGCGACGTCCGGCTGCTCGTCCGCCTCCTCCGCTAGCATCAGGACGCCCTCCTTTCCGAAAAAGTAGTAGTTCGGCCACTCGAGCTCGACCAGCGACGCCTCTGGCTTGCCCTCGATGCCGTCGGCGACCAGCCGCAGGAGCGCGTTGTGATGCTCGCCGTGGAGAAATTCGGGCCCGAGCTCGAGGGGCCACGGTGCGAGTGATTTGTCGGCCAGCACTCGGCCACCCACCTTGGGCGGCAGGCAAGCGGTCACGGAGGTGGCAACTCCCGCCGGATGTTAGCGCGCGCAGTGACGCACCTTGGACCCAGCCTCGAGCACCACGACACGGAGCCCGTGAGCGGACAGGCTGCGAGCTGCGGTGAGGCCAGCGGCGCCTGCACCAACCACCGCTACGTCGACAATCTCTACCACCACCATGGCCGGATTCCGGTCCCGTGGGAGGGAGGGGCTTTTTATCTGTGTCTAGCGTCCACCCATACCGCGCTGGTGTCCAGTCCGAGCCTGACTGTTCTTCACCTAAAATCTGTGTCGCGTTCCTCAACGCTTGCGATTCAGCTGTCGCGTCACTGGATGATCTTGCTCAGCTCGATCTCGACCTGACTCCTGACACCTGAACGCAGTCGCAGAGGCCTCTGCGGCGCGACGGCTGAATGTCGCGGCTCCAACGTCCAAGTGCCCCACTGGGGCCGCCCCCAGCCCCCACTCGCCACTGCCGGCGGGATTTTTCTTCCTTCATAACACATAAGCACTGTGACGACCACTGAAAGTAGAAAGAGTGCCACAGACTGTCAATGAGAGGAGAACGTACAATCAGACACGAGCCTTCACGTCCTTGCCCGCGCGGCGATGATGTGCATCTTCGGGCCGGAGGCCGGCGACGCCTCGTGTGCCCTCCACATGCCGTGCACGAGCCGCTCCTGCGCGCGCGCGAGTCCCTCGAGGTCAAAGAAGGGCGCGTCGCTCCGCGCGTCGAGCAGCCGCCGCCGGAGCAGCTGCAGCCGCTCAGGGGTCGAAGCGAGGCTGCAGATCAGGTCCTCGTACGCCTTCCAGCTCGGAGCCACGGTGTAGCCGAGGCCGAGCGCGGCGAGGAAGGAGCCCGACGCTCGGCTGGCGAGGCCGCGCCCCTGCAGCGCCACGGCGGGCACGCCCGCCCACAGCGAGTCGGCGCCGGTGGTGTGCGCGTTGTACCAGCGGTTGTCCACCATCAGGTCGGCCAGCGAGCGCGCGGGGATAAAGTCGGCCTCGGGCAGCTTTGGGACGAAGCCAAGCCGGCCGGTCACGCCGTGTGCCGCCGCCTGCGCGCGCAGGCTCTGCTCCGCATGCTCCGCCCAGCCGCGCCGCACCGAGACGCGCGAGAGCCACAGCGACGCCTCGGGGAGAAGAAATGGGAATCAGCACCGAGGAACTAACAACGGAGAGAGAGCCACGGCGACGCCTCGGGGAGGCGGCGCAGCGCGTTTGCCCACGCGCCGAACGAGTCGGGGTCGAGCTTGTACAGCTGGTTGAAGTTGCAGAGGGCGACGCCGCGCAGCCGGCGCGGAGAGAGGCCGAGCCTCAGGTCCTCTCGCCGCAGGGGCGGGCCCCCGTCGCTCGAGTCCACACGCCGCAGCGCGGGCGACCACGTGGCGCGCTCCTCCTCGCCGGCCGGCCACTCGCCGGCCGGCCACGGGTGGGCGAGGCGGGAGGCGTGGGGCGCGTGCGCATAGCGGCGCGCGTGCGCCGCCACAAAGTGGGAGAAGGGGAAGTAGGCCATCCGCTCGGTAAACTCGGCCGCCGCGAGCGGCGGCGGCGCCGCCGCGGCGTCGAGCAGCGCGTAGTGCATCTGCGGCAGCGCCGTCGTGCCGGCGTACCCGTAGTACGAGGCCTGCACCGGCGCGGGGCGGTAGTGCGTGAGGGCGTGCCGCGCCCCCGCGGTGTGGCCGACGAGGTTGACGAGGACGTGCAGCCGCAAGCCGTCGATCGCGCGCGCCGCCTCCGCGTCGGTGAGGCGGGTGAGGTCGAAGAAAGCGTGCGCCGCCGCGGCGATCGCGCGCCGCTCGGCGGTCCCAGCGTGCTGCCTCTCGGGCAAGTCGAGCGCGAGGCAGACCACCTGCGGGAGGCGGGGCGACGGCGGTGCGAAGGGGGGGGGGGGGGGGGGGAGGGAAGGGGAAACCGGGCGGGTCCAGGGCGAAACAAAAACTCCTCCAGCCGCGTCGACGCGACGAGCTGCTCAATCAGCGGCAGCATCGCCCAGCCCACAGGGTGAGGGCCAAAGTCGGACGACAGAAACCCGAGCCGCAAAATGCCGCCGCCGCCGCCGCCGCCATGGCCGCCGCCGCCTCCGCCGCCGCCCCACCGCAGCGGCGGCACGAGCGGGGCCGCCTCCGCCGCCTCGACGTCGCGGCGGGCTCGGCTGAGCGCGACTCGGCGACGCGTCTTGTCCGAGACGGGCCAGACGAGCGTGTGGAAGGGAGCGAGGCCGGCGTGCAGCCGCTCGGTCGGCCCGGCCCCGAGCCTGCCGCGCGAGTGCCACTCGTCGAGGTGCCGCTCCAGCTCTCTCAGCCGCGCCTGCTCGCAGAACGAGGCTCACACAGGGCGCCGAAGAAGTGCCGCTCCAGCTCGCGCAGCCGCGCCTCGCGGCCGCGCCAGTGTAATCTCGGGTAATCTCGGGTAATCTCGGGTAATCTCGGGTAATCTCCACCTCGCGGCCGCGCCAATCGCAGAGGAACTGCTGCCCGTCGAGCAAGTCGTACAGCGCCTGAGGGGCACGGGCGACGAGGCGTGTCGGCGGGGCGACCCTCCAACCGCAACGGCGCGGCGGCGGCGGCGCGGCGACACGCCGGCCAGAACTGCGGGTTGATGTCGAGCGCGGTGGCGAAGGAGGCGACGGCGTCGCGCGGCCTTCCGAGCTCGGTGAGGGCTGCGCCGAGGTTCTTGTGCGCCTCGCAGAGGTGCGGCTTGAGGCGGATGGCGGCCGAGTACGACGCGGCGGCCTGCCGAGACAGAGAGCATGCCATCCCCCTGACTGCTCCGCAGGGGGAGCGGCGGGTGGCGCGTGTGTGTGCGGTGGCCTCGGCGTGCCGCCCGAGTCCCTTGAGGGCGGTGCCGAGGTTGGAGTGGGCCTGCAGGAAGAGGCCCGGGAAAGGTCGGGGAAGGGAGCGAGGGACGGACGGCGCCGGAGGTCGCAAGCGATCCTCGGCGAGCTGCGGCGCGAGGCGGACGGCCTCGGCATAGTGATGGTGCGCCTGGGGCGTGAAAAGCGTCTCTTCACACCTGCAGCTGTGAACAAGCGGCCTCGGCACAGTGGTGGTGCGCCTGGGGGCGGGGGCGGCGGCGGAGAGGCGTCGGAAGGCGCGGCGCTAGGCTCGCAGCGTCGGCCTCGGCGGTGGCGGCGCCTCGGCCTCGCGGCCCGGCAAGTCGGAGAGGACGTTGCCGAGGTCGTTGTGCGCATAGGCAAAGGACGGGTCCAGGGCGAGCGCCGCAGCGTGCGCCGCCGCCGCCTCCTGCCGTCGGCCTCGGAGGTAGTGCGCCTTGCCGAGCGAGTGGTGCAGCCGCGCCTGGGGTCAGGGTCGGGGTCAGAGTCGGGGTCGGGGCTAGGGCAGAGCCTTGCCCACGGAGCGGCGCAAGCTTCGTCTCCTCCGGCCGCTGCCGCAGCGCCGCACTCAGCGCCTCTGCCGCGCCGTCCGCGTCGCCGAGGTCGAGCAGCGCGCCTCCGAGGTATGGCCGAGACGTGGCCGAGACGTTTGCGGGGTGGGAGATGTGGCTGAGATGGAGACGCAGCCGACGCCGAGTCGGGGCAGCGCGCCTCCGAGCGCCTCCTGCGCGAGCGAGAAGGCAGAGTCGGCCCTCAGCGCCGCGCGGAAGCCGTCTGCCGCCTCGGCCGGTCTGCGCAGCGAGAGCAGTGCCTGGCCGCGGTTGTAGTGCGCTGCGGCGACCGACGGGTTGAGCCGCAAGCCCTCTCCGTACGCCTCGACCGACTCCTCGAGGCGACCGAGCTCGCGCAGCACGACGCCGAGCAGGATGTGCGCGCCGGCGAGCAGCGGGTCGATCGCCAGCACGGCGCGGTAGCTGGCCTCCGCCTCGGCAAGCAGGCCGGCGTCGCGCTGCAGCTTGCCGAGCTGAAAGTGCGCCTCCTTGGCCTCAGCAGGAGGGAGGCTGGCGGTGAGCGAGCGGCCGAACGACGAGCGCGCCGCCGCGTCGTGCCCAAAGCGCTGCTCGCTGCGCGCACGGTGGAACCAGGTGCGCCCGCCCGCGCCGGGCAGCCCGGTCGCCTCGCGGTGGCAGGCGAGAGCGGCGTCAGCGTCGCCAGCCTCGGTCAGCTCCCAGCCGCGTCGCGATAAGTCGCCAGGCACGGAGGAGCGTCGGTCACACGGCATATGTCAGTGCTGCGGCCGTCGGCGGCGTCTGCCTGGGACTGCTCATCAGGCTGTGAACCTTGAGCTCCTCGGGCCCACAGACATCCCGCCCACCCGCCGAAAGGGGAGTAACAGTTCGGGACATGGCAACAGACGAGAACCTCCTCCATGTGCGAGAACGCAGAGAGAACTGAAATGAATGAAAGCCCAGCCCACAAGTCCGGCTCATGCGCCCCCTCACTCTGATCGAAAAACTTCCCCAATGGTGTGGTTAACGCGAACCCTTCCGCGCCACCGTTTTTATGGTGCGCAGCTTCAAGCTCAACTTCCCCAATGGTGTGGTGAGCGCGAACCCTGCGCGCGCGAGTGTTCTTGTGGTCACCTCTTCACAAGGATTCCTCCCACATGCCGCCAAAGGTCGGCGTCGGCATCGGCGTGCTCGTCATCGACGGCGGGCGTCTGCTCCTCGGGCTCCGCCGCGGCTCGCACGGCTCCGGCACCTGGGCGCTGCCGGGCGGCTGGCTTGAGGAGGGCGAGGCCTTTGAGGCGTGCGCGCTGCGCGAGCTGGAGGAGGAGACCGGGCTCGGCGCGGCCCAGGTGTTCGCGTCCGGCGCGGCGGTGATCCCGGTCGTCTCCAACAACGTCATCGACGGCAAGGTGCACTCGGTGACGGTGTTTGTGCGAGTGCCGCTCGGCGCGGCGCCCGACAGCGCCGGCGGGGCCGCCGCCGAGCCTCGGGTGATGGAGCCCGACAAGTGCGTGGAGTGGCGGTGGTGCGACCTGGCGCAGCCCCTCCCGGCGCCGCTCTTCCCGCCGCTCGCCTTCCTCGCCGACTCCGCCTACTGGAGAGACACCGTTCTGCCGACGACGCTGCCCGCGGGTCGGGTGGCCTCGACGACCCCTGGCGCGGCGCCCTCCGGCGTCGGCGGCGCCTCGACCGACGACCCGCGCGACACGGTGCTGCTCACGCCGCTGCCCCTCCCGTGCGGCTCCCTCGTCCCGCGCGTCGTCTGCCCGACCGCCGGCGCCGTCGCGACCTTCACTGGCACTACGCGAGAGACGTTCGAGGGGAGGGCGGTGGTGAGGCTCGAGTACGAGGCGTACGAGGCGATGGCGCGCAAGGAGATGCTCGCCCTCTGCGCCGCGGTGCGCGCGCGCTGGCCCGTCCGCCACATCGCGATCGCCCACCGCACCGGCACCGTCCCCGTCACCGAGGCGTCGGTCGAGATTGCAATCTCGTCGGCGCATCGCGCGGAGGCGCTGGCGGCGTGCGCCTTCGCCATCGACGAGCTCAAGGCGCAGGTGCCCATCTGGAAGAAGGAGGTGTACGAGGACGAGCAGGCCGTCTGGAAGGCCAACCGAGAGGCGGCGCACGTTCCCTCGTGAGTGTGTGACACACAATCGATTCACACGAGTCAAAAGTGTGGTACGTAGTAATAGTACACTGTTGTCATGTGCAACAAAGGGGACCGCCTTTGAGTGAGTAGAGGCAGTTCGTGCACGCGTCGAATAATTAGCTACCTATGTCCTATCCGAGCCGCCGCGCGGCGCGCGTCACCAGGCGCGAGAGCCGAGACCGAGAGATCGTCCGCGGTCGTCTGCGTCTGCCGGCAACTGCCGCATGCGATGGGCATGCCGCGGTCGCGCCGCGCACACCACGCGCACACGGCCTCGCGTACGCGAAGAGGGACGTGGGACGACGCGACGACGGTCGACGGCGGGCACCGACACGGCAACTTGTACGGGGGATCTTTTCTGCACTCTCCACATCTCTGTGGGCGGACTGGGCTCTGGGGGGTGGGGGCACAGAGATCTTTATACTCTATCTATGTGTGGTGGAGATATCTGTGCAAACTGCAATCTCCACAATGAACCAATCTGCTATCTGGCACAATATCGTCTCTCTGGGCCGGCGCGGGGGCCCCAGAGGGTGTCCATGCGGGGGAGGAGATGGGATCCGATGGCCCGCCGCAGGCGCCGATTTTTTCGAGTTTTTTGCGCGATTTCGTACTTGTTTTCATGGGAATTCGCCGTACTGGCGGCCATGCTATCAGAGTATCACGCCTTGCGACATCCTATCGGCGCTGCTGACCGTGCCATGCTGCACAATTGATCACCTGCATAGCTCGCGGCCTTAGTATCAAGCATTCAGTGACGACCTGATCGTGGGGCCAGTAGGAAGGTGTCCTTCCATCGTGTGCACGCTTCTGGCGCAATGCGCGTCGCCTCGGATTGGCTGCTGGCACTCTCGAGGCTATGCCTACACAGCCTCGCGCGCATGGGCAGTCAAGAGGACCACGCACCTTCTCAGGACAGCGCCGGTGCCTCTCTCTTGGACCGGCAAACGTGGTGGTCTCGTGTCACCGATGTGGGACCAGTGCGGCATCGCGCCTTCGACAGCTCTGAACTGCGCCTCACCACTGACCGGGAAGGCCGCCAAGTGGGCCAGCACCGGTCGCACATTGTGGCAGCAGTCAGCAGTGCATGTCTGATAGCTAGAGCAGCAGCATCAGGGTCGCAGGGTCGGATCGTGTCAAGCCTCTCGCCCGGCCGGCCGCGTGCAGACGTCGGCCTGTCTGCTGTCTGGAGATGTCTGGAGTGATCTGTCGGCGGTCAGTACGACCGATCAGATTTGGAGAGATCTCGAGGAGTACATACAGATAGACACTCCAATCATCAGAAAACTCCAACCTCCCAGAGTATCGTCTGCGGAGAGATGCTATCTATCTCCTCTTTTACACAAAATATCACGCAGCTCCTACCCTTAACCCTACGGCCCTAGTAGTCTCCATGGACTCGAGCTAGTCGGACTGCCGGAGCACGTCTCCCACCGCGAGGCGCTTGGCGGGCGCGGGTGGCGCCTTCTCGCCGGCGGCCGCCCCGAACCAAACAGTGCCTACCACGTACTCGTCGTCGGGCAATCCGACCGCGCCGGCGAAGCGCGGGTCGAAGTTGACCGGCCCGCTCGTCCACTTTGTGCCGAGCCTATGGGGCCGCGCAGGACAGGTGTCACGATAGCTCGCCTTGCGTGCAGCTCCGCCAATTCACGCTGCGCCCGTCGGCGTGAAGCGAGAGGCAGAGATTCTGAGTGGCGCAGCAGACGGCGGCGTAGTCCTCGCGAGCCAAGCCGGCGGGCTCCTCCATCGAGTCGCCGCCCTCACGCCGCACGCACGTGACGACGAGCCAGCCCGGAATCGCGAGCCAGCGCTCCAGCTTCTTGGCGCCCGCGGCGTCGCCCTTGGACGCAGTCACGAGCTCCGCATTGAGCTCGCAGACCCGCCGGACTGGGTGGAGAGAGAGAGAGAGGGCGGCAGGCGGGGTTGGGTCAGCATAAGAGGGAGAGAGGGAGGGAGGGCAGGGAGAGAGGGAGAGGGAGAGCGGGGAGAGAGGGAGAGAGAGCAAGGCGGGTGAGCAGCACTTGAGCGAGGTCCGAGGAGGTGGAAGCGCCACGGTTCGGTCCGCTTGTGGTTGGGTGCAAAGGTGGCTGCCTCCACAGCGCGCTCCAGCGCCTCCTCCCACCCGGCAGGCAGCTGAGGCGAAAAGTCATTGATCGTTCGCCGCGAGCGCAGCGCGTCGTGGACGGCTTCCGCCGCGCCCATCCTGCCGCCTCCCTCGCCCAGCTCGCCGTCCTCGCTCGTCGCGGTCAGGCCGAGGCTCTGCCGGCTGCCCACGAGGGATGCCTCGACCTCGGATGCCACCCGCAGCCGCCCTCCGGAGCCGGCGCAGAGCCCGCGCAGCCCCTGCAGCGCCGCCTCCTCCGCCTCGGCGACGGAGGGCAGCTCGCGCGCGTCCGGGCTCACGCAGAGCGACTTGACACTCCACTCGTCCTCATCCACCTCCACCAGACAGAGCGTGGACGCACAGCCGCCGACCGTGGCGAAGAGCTTAGCGGCGCCCGCATCGCCGGCACCCGCAACAGCTGCGGCGCAGGCTTGGAAGCGCTCGTACTGCTGCTTGCGATTTGCGCGCCGTATCCGCTCCGCTCCTGAAACGGCGAGCACCTTTAGCTTTGTGCCCGTCTTGCCGTCAGGGACCGTCTGCAGGGTGTTGGCGTTCGCTGCCCGCGCTTGCCACGCCGCCACGAGCATCGAGCCCTTGGCAGGCGAGACCTCGACCAGCTGAGGAGCGGAGGACGTCACGGAGGCCACGGCGGGCTTCGCCCTCGCGCTGGGCGTGAGGGTGCCGAGCGAGAGGAGCAGAGCACAGGCCATCGAATCAGATAGAGAGCTAAATGGTGCCGAGCGGGCGATGTCTTTCTTCTTTATCGTACAATGGAAGAAACTTGTTTTGTAAGGTACCCACTCTCTCCCCTTGGCGGTGCTGGCAGTTGAAATCCGGTTCACTCGCACTAATCCACAACCGCTGCCGTACGTCCGGTTCACTCTCGGGGCACAATGCTGCCCTGTGGATGCGAGCACGTCTGCTGCGGCATTTGCGAGCACGCGGCTCGCGCAGGGCGCCCGCGCCTCTTCACGCGCGAGAGCGCGGCGCAGTGGGACCCCCCGAACCTCACCGACTACCGTGGCGCTGACAAGCTCGAGGCCCGCAACGGCGACGGACTCAGGGCCGGTGCTTTGACGCAGTATATTGTACTTCGAGGTAGTATGAACTCAGAACGGCCCCCCGAGAGCGCCTCTTCGACGCCCACGGGTCCCGGGGGGTCGGAGGGGTTGCGAGAAGGCCTTGGCTATTTTTTGTTTGAATTCTGGAGGCCGTTCAAACATGTAACGTGCGTTCCACGTGCCCGTCCCCAGCAAGGACAACATGCTAGCCCAGCAGGCCGCTCCCACCGCCGCCCGCGGCGGAGGCAAGGCGGCAAAGGGTGGCAAGGGCGGCGGCAAGGGCGCTGGCAAGGGTGGTGGCCGTGTGGCGCACCAGACCCACTTTGCGCCGCCGCCCTCAACGCCCGATACTCGGTTGAGCCGGCGGAGCGACGGCGGCAGAGTTGCGGCCGCCGGCGACCTCACACGGCGTCGAGCGCCGTAGAGACGGCCCCGAGAGCCGCCGCCAGGTGTGCCACGACCGCGGTCGCGAGGCTCGTGGCGATAGATGCGCCAGACCCGCTTGCGCCGCCGCCCTCAACGCCCGATTCTCGGTCAGAGCCGGCGGAGCGACGGCGGCGGAGTTGCGGCCGCCGGCGACCTCACACGGCGTCGAGCGCCGTAGAGACGGCCTCGAGAGCCGCCGCCAGGTGTGCCACGACCGCGGTCGCGAGGCTCGTGGCGATAGATGCGCCAGACCCGTCTTGCGCCGCCGCCCTCAACGCCCGATACTCGGTCAGAGCCGGCGGAGCGACGGCGGCGGAGTTGCGGCCGCCGGCGACCTTCCCCTCGACCACGCCGCCGACCCGTCGACAAGCACACGCGGACTGCCATCGAGAAGAAGGAGAAGGATGGCGGCGCATCCGGAGCCCGCGGGCGCAGCGGGCGCGGGTCCGGGCGCGGGCGGGCGCGCGGGAACCCCGCCAGCGGAGGCGACAATGCCTTCTGGGAGGCGGCTCTGCAGGCGGCGCGCGGCGCGCCCCTCGCCGGTCTCCCGCACGCTCCTGAGGGCCGAGAGGGCCGAGAGGCGGGGTCGGTGACCCGGGGGCATGGGCGGTGCGGCCCGCGCCGCGCGCGGGCGCGTGGCAGCCCGTGAGGGCCGAGATCGGGTCCGTACTTCGACGTAGTATGGGCCCCCGGGGGCCCTCTACAGCAGCGGCGAAGTGAGCGTGTTTGTGGTGTTGGTGTGGCGTCTGAGCTTGGATCTGTGACTAAAGCCGGTTACCACTGATGGATCCCCACCCGAATAACACACAGTGAGCGCCCCAGCGCTTCACTACGCCCTCCGCGCGAAATCGCTAGTGGTGCTTTGTGGTAGTATATTGTACTTTTGAGTAGTATGGGTACGGTTCCCGAGACCGGCGACAGCGGCGAGCCAACAATGTGGTTCTGGCAGATGACAGGTACGCGCTGGCCGGCACACGACAAAAGGGAGAGCCGCACGACCTTTAACACGGCCACGAAGGCTTGGCGTCGCCTGACCGCCTCCCAGGAGGAGCGGTCAGCAGAGACTGCGGCTCGCTACGATCGAGAAGATGCCAGGCTGGAGCTGGAGGCAGCAGAGGAGCTGCGCGTGGTTGAGGAGGAGCAGCGCGTGCTCGAGGAGAAGTGCAAGCAGGAGGCGCGCGAGCAGCAGCAGCAGCAGCGACGGCGCCGGGCCGAGGAGGCGGCCTCGCGCGTGCACGCCGCACGCAATCGTGTGCGCGAGCTGCCGATGCGCCCACGTGATGCGTCGCCGCGGATCGCGCTGCTGGCCGCGCTGCGGGGCGTCACAGGGAACCGCCTGTGCGACTGGGCGTGGGTCGAATCGGATCCGATCGGATCGAGCCGCGTCCGTTATTCGGTGAGGGACTCATCGCCCCGGCTCGAGCTGCCTCTCGACGAGCCCGACGAGATGATGGCGCGGATCGTTGCCGCGTCGGGCAGCGACGAGCGGCCGCCGTGGGCAGACTGGTGGCCGTCGCCGAGCGAACTGGTCGGCAATCCGCTGCTGGCGGAGAGGGCTCGCGCCTGGAGCCTGGAGAGAGGGCGCTCGCCAGAGCCGGAGCCGCGCGCGACGACGTGGGCGCTGCAGCAGGTGATCGCCGCGCGACGCGGGTGGTGGCCTATCGCCGGGCAGAGCCGCCGTCTCTCAGAGACGTCGACCTCGACGCAGTGCTGTGCGGCCATCGGCCAGTGCCCCAATCCCGAGATGGAGTCGCTTACTGCCGAGATGGAGACGCTCCGGACCCAGGTGCCGGAGCCATTCCCAAGACCCTTCCCGGCCGCCGCGCTCGGACTTGCCGTGAGCACCTCTGTGGCATGGTGACACGTCCATGGCCTTTCCCCGCAGGTGGCAGCGCTCCTTGCAGCTCCTGTTCCGACGGTCGCATATGGAATTTCAGAACCGAACATTCAAAATGTACAGACACCCACAATGGACGGGGCGTTGGACTTCTCGCCGGGCCCCAACTACGAAGCGTCGAAACTCATCCTGGAAGGCATCACCCACTACGATGGGAAGCTTATGATCAGGGGGAAAGACGTCTCTGCGAGGGATCTGAGCATTGCGTTCAAGGATCTCCAGACAGTGTCCATCGGGATCGATATGGCCTTCGGGAATGGCGTGAATACGGGGATTACCTTTGCGCCAGGCGACGACGAAGTCGTCTTTCCGTCGCTACGACGCATCCACGAGCTCAACGTGCCTGGGTGCGGGAGGGCGACCTCGTGTTCCTTTCCCGCCCTGCAAAAGATCGACAAGACCTTCCATGCCATGGGAGACACCTGTGTGCGAATTGGGAGTCCTTGCAACACGTGGAAAAAGCTTTCCCTCCCTAGCCTCCAGTACGCGAGTAGAATTGGGCTGCGCAGCTGGCCGGCGTTGGAGGAGATCGACCTCAGCAGCCTTGTCGTCGTCGGCAGCGGGGGTTTCGACATTGGAATGACGGTAGGCACGATGTCAGAGCTGACAACCATAACCATAAGCCCCAACTTCCTCCTGGCCAGGGAGTTTGTCAAGTTCCAACGGGTTCCGAAGCTCAACTGTAACAATGGAGCCAACACGGGGCTGAAGAACATGATCACCAAGTGCAAAGCGGCGAACCAGGCGGATTATACTTGGAATGCATGCACGGTCACTGGCAAACCGCCCGGCTGCTAGGCAGACTTTGGGGGGGGGGGGGGGGGCACTTGTTGATTCTCAGCCACACGAGGGGGCGACATGATGAGGCGTGTCTAGCACACTACAGTCTAGGAGATTAGGGTCTGTCGTTCGACCTCGACCTCGCCGCCTCCGCCACATTACCGCCTCTAGCGGGCCGGATGCTCGGGGGGACGGGCTGCGGGCTAGAGCGCCCTGACCCAGGGTGCGGGTGCGCGTTCGCAGGGAAGGGGACATAAAGTAAACACGGGTCTCCGAGGGGTCAACCACAGTGTACATACGGCTTAAAGAATCTCTTACGCTCTCCGAGGGACCATGTGGAAGACGGCTAGTGCTAGCCCCCCCGCATCGGGAGGACGACCCCGGCTAGCACGCGACGGGCTGGCGATCCTCAACGGCGTCGCAGGAGGGCAGGCGGCCACCTTTCTGTGGAAGGACTCGACGCCACGCCTCCGCGCGTGATAGCGAGATCGGAAGAGGGCAGGCCAACGCTAATTGGACTCTCTCTCCCAGCCGGACGCCGGACGGACAGGGCGCGTCGGTCGGCGGCGCATGTGTGCATTAAAACTCCTGGGCTCTCAATGCCTAGCCCGCCGTTCTGTCAGCCGCGGCCCGCATGTCCAGACAGTGCGGGCCTCGACGCCACACTAGGTCCATTGGGTTGAACCCTGGCTTGTCTCGAAGGTGAGGTATAGAGGGTCACATGGGGAATGCGAACTCGTCATGATGCGCGGCGACGGCGGCGTCGATATCTGTCGACGCCGCCGCCCCGCGCTCCAAAACGGTCGCGTACGCATATGCGCACAACTAGGTACGTGCCAACCCGCATGGGCCAGACACCGTCAAAGGTCCCTCTCCACTCCTCCTTGCACCACACTGAAGCATATGCAGCTGATGTGAGCAAGGTCGCCTAAGCGGCCCCCCTCGCTGTGGGTTGCCGTAGTTGGACCAATGCCACGCGTTGTGGCGAAGATGGCCTTATGCAGAGCCTGGCCGGGCCGTCTTCGGGCCCGGCCGCCCTAACAGTACGACGCATACGCGCCGCGACCGCTTCAAGTGTCGCCGCCGCCGCAAGGCGGACGGCGCCCGCCGCCCAGCCAACAGTGGCTAGGGCGGGGGAAGGGTGGATTCGAGCCGCCCGCACGCTCGTGCGGTAGGGAGGCTCGTGTAAAGCACGCCGTGCGCAAGCACAGGTGCGCGTTTGAAGCATTCGAGTCGCTGCAGCGAAGGCTGCTGTTTACTGGTTTGTGGCACGCCACGCATCTCGCGCGGTGAGTGCTGAGATACGCCCCGAGCACGATCGCCGGGGCGGCTGCATGACTAGAACGACCCGCGCCGTGGCACAGGTCGAGTAGAGAGGGCCGCACACGCGTCCTTGCGGGCGGCCCGTTGTGAAGGATCGAGCACACCGAAGCGAGGTGTGCTCGTGTTGCAAGTGTCGCCGCCGCCGCAAGGCGGACGGCACCCACCGCCCAGCCAACAGTGGCTAGGCCGGGGGAAGGGTGGATTCGAGCCGCCCGCACGCTCGTGTGGCCGGGAGGCTCGTGTAGAGCACGCCGTGCGCAAGCACAGGTGCGCGTTTGAAGCATTCGAGTCGCAGCAGCGAAGGCTGCTGTTTACTGGTTTGTGGCACGCCACGCGTCTCGCGCGGTGAGTGATGAGATACGCCCCGAGCACGATCGCCGGGGCGGCTGCATGACTAGAACGACCCGCGCCGTGGCACAGGTCGAGTAGAGAGGGCCGCACACGCGTCCTTGCGGGCGGCCCGTTGTGAAGGATCGAGCACACCGAAGCGAGGTGTGCTCGTGTTGCAAGTGTCGCCGCCGCCGCAAGGCGGACGGCGCCCACCGCCCAGCCAACAGTGGCTAGGGCGGGGAAAGGTGGATTCGAGCCGCCCGCACGCTCGTGCGGTAGGGAGGCTCGTGTAGAGCACGCCGTGCGCAAGCACAGGTGCGCGTTTGAAGCATTCGAGTCGCAGCAGCGGAGGCTGCTGCTTACTGGTTTGTGGCACGCCACGCGTCTCGCGCGGTGAGTGCTGAGATACGCCCCGAGCACGATCGCCGGGGCGGCTGCATGACTAGAACGACCCGTGCCGTGGCACAGGTCGAGTAGAGAGGGCCGCACACGCGTCCTTGCGGGCGGCCCGTTGTGAAGGATCGAGCGCGCCGAAGCGAGGTGTGCTCGTGTTGCAAGTGTCGCCGCCGCAACAAGGCGGACGGCGCCCGCCGCCCAGCCAACAGTGGCTAGGGCGGGGAAAGGTGGATTCGAGCCGCCCGCACGCTCGTGTGGCCGGGAGGCTCGTGTAGAGCACGCCGTGCGCAAGCACAGGTGCGCGTTTGAAGCATTCAAGTCGCAGCAGCGAAGGCTGCTGCTTACTGGTTTGTGGCACGCCACGCGTCTCGCGCGGTGAGTGCTGAGATACGCCCCGAGCACGATCGCCGGGGCGGCTGCATGACTAGAACGACCCGCGCCGTGGCACAGGTCGAGTAGAGAGGGCCGCACACGCGTCCTTGCGGGCGGCCCGTTGTGAAGGGTCGAGCGCGCCGAAGCGAGGCGTGCTCGTGTTGCAAGTGTCGCCGCCGCCGCAAGGCGGACGGCGCCCGCCGCCCAGCCAACAGTGGCTAGGGCGGGGGAAGGGTGGATTCGAGCCGCCCGCACGCTCGTGCGGTAGGGAGGCTTGTGTAGAGCACGCCGTGCGCAAGCACAGGTGCGCGTTTGAAGCATTCGAGTCGCAGCAGCGAAGGCTGCTGCTTACTGGTTTGTGGCACGCCACGCGTCTCGCGCGGTGAGTGCTGAGATACGCCCCGAGCACGATCGCCGGGGCGGCCGCATGACTAGAACGACCCGTGCCGTGGCACAGGTCGAGTAGAGAGGGCCGCACACGCGTCCTTGCGGGCGGCCCGTTGTGAAGGGTCGAGCGCGCCGAAGCGAGGCGTGCTCGTGTTGCAAGTGTCGCCGCCGCCGCAAGGCGGACGGCGCCCGCCGCCCAGCCAACAGTGGCTAGGGCGGGGGAAGGGTGGATTCGAGCCGCCCGCACGCTCGTGCGGTAGGGAGGCTCGTGTAGAGCACGCCGTGCGCAAGCACAGGTGCGCGTTTGAAGCATTCGAGTCGCAGCAGCGGAGGCTGCTGCTTACTGGTTTGTGGCACGCCACGCGTCTCGCGCGGTGAGTGCTGAGATACGCCCCGAGCACGATCGCCGGGGCGGCTGCATGACTAAAGCGACCCGTGCCGTGGCACAGGTCGAGTAGAGAGGGCCGCACACGCGTCCTTGCGGGCGGCCCGTTGTGAAGGATCGAGCATACCGAAACGAGGTGTGCTCGTGTTGCAAGTGTCGCCGCCGCCGCCGGGGGAAAGGTGAATTCGAGCCGCCCGCACGCTCGTGCGGTAGGGAGGCTCGCGTAGAGCACGCCGTGCGCAAGCACAGGTGCGCGTTTGAAGCATTCGAGTCGCAGCAGCGAAGGCTGCTGTTTACTGGTTTGTGGCACGCCACGCATCTCGCGCGGTGAGTGCTGAGATACGCCCCCAGCACGATCGCCGGGGCGGCTGCATGACTAGAACGACCCGTGCCGTGGCACAGGCCGAGTAGAGAGGGCCGCACACGCGTCCTTGCGGGCGCCCGTTGCGAAGGATCGAGCGCGCCGAAGCGAGGTGTGCTCGTGTTGCAAGTGTCGCCGCCGCCGCAAGGCGGACGGCGCCCACCGCCCAGCCAACAGTGGCTAGGGCGGGGGAAGGGTGGATTCGAGCCGCCCGTACGCTCGTGCGGCCGGGGGGCTCGTGTAGAGCACGCCGTGCGCAAGCACAGGTGCGCGTTTGAAGCATTCGAGTCGCAGCAGCGAAGGCTGCTGCTTACTGGTTTGTGGCACGCCACGCGTCTCGCGCGGTGAGTGCTGAGATACGCCCCGAGCACGATCGCCGGGGCGGCTGCATGACTAGAACGACCCGTGCCGTGGCACAGGTCGAGTAGAGAGGGCCGCACACGCGTCCTTGCGGGCGGCCCGTTGTGAAGGATCGAGCGCGCCGAAGCGAGGCGTGCTCGTGTTGCAAGTGTCGCCGCCACCGCTGCACGCGGGCTGGGCTATCGCCTGCAGGATGAGGCTAAAAGAGGCATAGTTCTCCGCGTAGAGCACATAGCAAAAGGACTCCCAATCTAAGCAAAGCCAGTTGCTCCATCCGGATGACGCATCAGAACTGAGAAATTTCCGTTGACAGAGAGCTGCTCGGTGTGACGACGTGTGGTGTCCATCCCAAATGCGCCGCTGGCGCACTGTGGGGCGGGGGGGGAGGTCAAAGCGAGTCGCCCAGGCTCCCTGCTGGGCGGCTCGCGTCGTGTTTGTAACGGTTCGAAGAAGCTCTTTGTTCACGGTTGCACCGTGAACAGGAGATTGGTCGAGGCTATGCACAAGCGATGCGCGTAGACTCCGTGTGGCTCTGGGCTGCAGCCTGTTAGAGAGCCGAGTCGCTTTAATAGCACGGCCGGGCACGGTCGTACCTCGCGTGCCCTCTGTGCGAATTAAAACTCCTGGGCTCTCAATGCCTAGCCCGCCGTTCTGTCAGCCGCGGCCCGCATGTCCAGACAGTGCGGGCCTCGACGCCACACTAGGTCCATTGGGTTGAACCCTGGCTTGTCTCGAAGGTGAGGTATAGAGGGTCACATGGGGAATGCGAACTCGTCATGATGCGCGGCGACGGCGGCGTCGATATCTGTCGACGCCGCCGCCCCACTTGTCTTCCTTCTCGGAAAGTTCGCGACCGAGTCTCTAGACTCGCTCGCGCGGCGCGCATTGACATATTGACTGTGCGCATCCCCATGTCGAGCGCAGCTCGAAGTGCCGGCTGGCCTCTTCTTGAGTGCCCTGACGATTTGTGGTCATCCCGACTACGGAATAACACGTGTTCTGTCGCCCCGTTCCGGAGGAATGCCGACAGGAGTGATTTGTTACTTGTGCAATCCGTGCAGGCACACACCCTCACAGACTGCACTACGCCGCGAGGGTTCTTGCTGACCTCACGCCGTTAAGATAGCTGCGTGCGCTGGCACTCAGACAAGACACAACCAGGACACCCCTCTCCCGGGGGGCCGCTGGCGTCCGGGTCCCCAAAACAGCCCGAGGGCCGTGTTGGTGCTTCCACTAGTGCAGTTCGAGTGCAGTGCGCCTCACAGGCTGACACCGCACACCGTCTCGAACTGTCCTCGACGCCGCCAGTGGCGGGCCGACGGCAGGGTAGGGGCCGCAGGCCGTGCTTCGGGGCGCAGGCTCTACTGCTCATTCATGGCTCCGCACTCCGCTCCGCGCGGCGTGTTGAGTATGGCTCACACCAGCAGCCAGACGGCTGCTGGTGGATGCTCGCGCTCCCCTCGCGCCGTCCTTGGCACGAGAGGGCGGGTTGATTTGCGAGTGCACCACGCAATGCCAGCTGGCCCTGCGGGTGCACTTCGCCCATGGCCGTGTGCTCATCTGGCGGCACTGCTTGCTGCATGGCCATGTAAAGACGCCATTTTTGCACGGTGCTTTGCGCAAAGCATTACGTATGGGGCCACCTGCGGCTGGGGCGGTCCTCGCATTCCAGCTGGCGTGGACGACTGCTGTCCTCCTGTTGGCTGCTGGCTCCTCGTTCGAAGCTGAGCAGGCTGGTCCTCGCTGCAAAGCCTGCGGTTTGCATGTCTTGGACTGGCGGCGCGGTGCTGCACGCACTGCGGCGCGGATCCGTTTGGCCCATTGCGCCCGTCCGTAGGACGGGCGCGGTCGGTCGTGGCCTGGCGGCGGCACTCGCCTCCGGCCTGGCCAGCGTCAAAGCGAGTCGCCCAGGCTCCCTGCTGGGCGGCTCGCGTCGTGTTTGTAACGGTTCGAAGAAGCTCTTTGTTCACGGTTGCACCGTGAACAGGAGATTGGTCGAGGCTATGCACAAGCGATGCGCGTAGACTCCGTGTGGCTCTGGGCTGCAGCCTGTTAGAGAGCCGAGTCGCTTTAATAGCACGGCCGGGCACGGTCGTACCTCGCGTGCCCTCTGTGCGAATAAAATCGCATTTGTGTAGGTGTTGGCGTATAAGCGCATGCTGGTGCGTCGCGTGGCGCTCATAAAACGAGAGAGAAAGAAGGTTGGCGTGCAGGGGTTTCTTTTTACAGATTTTCCGGCGCGACGGTTACGTGTTGCTGTTGCGTGTTGGCCGACACACGCCGGGGCGACGTACGGCCCAGCCTGCGCGACGGTCACGACGGGCCGGGTCTTAACGCTATGATGGCAAAGGGCGGGAGCTCTTTGGAAATTGTGCAGGATGCCATTCACCAGCGCTTTGTCGACATGCGCCGTGCGTTCCAGAACATCGACCTCGACGGCAATGGCAGGCTCTCGGAGGCACAGGTCCGTGGAGCGTTGGACAACTGGAACGCGCCACTCGAGGACAAGCAAATCGCGGCCCTTTTCCGCGCTTGCGATCCCGACCAAGACGGCCAGATTGACTACAAAGAGTTTGTGGCCGCACTGGCACGCGATACTGTTGCGCCCGAGGTGATGGCGCAGAGATGCCAGCCCAAGGTCATGGAGACGCACAGACGCCCGAAGAGATGGCAGCAGCGAGGGCGGCGGCGGGGATTGCGGCTGTCCGTCCTCCAGAGAGGGACGTCGAGCGCTACCGAAGGCAGAACTTTGACGAGCTGCCTGGCCAGAGATGCAAAGGACCTCTCGAGGCACGGCTGGGCGATCCAAAATGCGGAGGACTCGCGAGGCCCGCGACCGCGTATGAGATCTTCTTTGGCGACCGAAAAGAGGACTCGCCCTCCTCCGTCGCGTTCCGGGACGCGCGCGCGAAGGCCGATGCACTGAGGGCGAATAGTGAGGACCCGTTCAAGATGGTCAGGGAGCTCGAGGCCCTGCATCGACATTGACTGTGCAACCGTACTGCAATCTGTTTTATTGAAAGTAGTTAACAAACAAACGCAACGCACGCATCAACGGGTGAGGAGCGGCTCCTCTCGGATTCTCCATCCTGAGATCTCCTCTCGTCTTGGCACTTGGGGTTGGCGTGGTGAAACAGAGAGGCCTCCAGGTGGGGTTATGTGAATCTCATAGACCAGCGCGCAGCGCCATATGACGTATTTTCTTCTCAAAATATAACAAGGTGTGTGAACGCAATGGTGAAAAAGTTAGAGGATGGTAGCTAGCGCAAATAAAGAAAACACATTCCCCCGGTGCAAGATATGCCGGCCCGCGTCAGCGCCGCAAGCCGCAAGCCGCCGCCTCCGTCGACGCGCGGCGGCGCCGTTCCTGCAAGCATTCGGAAGGCGGCCAAGGATGATCAAGCGGGAGCGGTGCTGGCGTGGCTCGACGGCGGCGGGTGGGTCGACGAGACGTTCGAGCACACCTCTGGTGACGGCTTTTGTGCGAGCGGCATGACCCTGCTGATGGTCGCAATGTGCTATGGCCACGCGGAGTCGGCCGAGGCGCTTCTGCGGCGCGGCGCAGATGTCTCGTTGCAGAACAGCGACGGCAGCACCGCGCTGAGCCTCGCCGCCACCAACGGCCACGAGAAGCTGGTCGAGCTGGCGTTGCGGCGCGGCGCGGAGATCAATCAGAGACGCCGCACGACCGGCGGCACTGCGTTGATGAACGCCACATTAAAAGGTCACGAGTGGGTGGTCGACACGCTGATCCGGCACGGCGCAGAGATCAACCTGCAGGCCACCGGCAGCAGTTGCTTCACAGCGCTGATGCTCGCCGCCCTCGGCAACCATCCCGCCGTGGTGCTTCGCTTGCTGCGGGCGGGCGCTGACATGACACTGCGCACTACGGCGGGCAAGACGGCGCTGCAGATTGCCAAGGAGAAGGGCCACGCCGAATGCGTCGAGGCCTTCAGGACGTATCTCGGCGAGGTGACGACGGCGCGCAGCAAGGCGCCGTTGACCGAGGCGGGCGGCGCACGGGCGGGAGGCGCACCCGCAGGCGGGACGGAGGCGGGCGCCAGTGCCGTGGGTTCTGCCTCGAGCGGCGAGGGCGCGGAGGCCGAGCTGAGCAGCGAGGCGGTGCCTGAGGCGGCTGTGCGAGGCGACGAGTCGCCGGTGCTGTCGTGGCTCGACGGCGGCGGGCGGGTCGACGCGACGTTCGAGTGCACCTTTGCTTGCGGCTCTCATGGGAGCGGCATGACGCTGCTGATGGTCGCAATGGTCTGCGGCCACGAGGGGCTGGCCAAGGCGCTGCTCCAGCGCGGTGCGGATGTCTCGTTGCAGACCAGTAACGGCGACACCGCGCTGAGTCTCGCCGCTGTGAACGACCACAAGAAGCTGGTCGAGCTGGCATTGCGGCACGGCGCGGAGGTCGACCAGAAAGGCCGCAATGGCAGCACTGCGCTGATGGAGGCCGCCTACGAAGGCCACGAGCGGGTTGTCGACACGCTGGTCCGGCACGGCGCGGAGATCAACCTACAGGACAACGACGGCGACACCGCTCTGACTCTCGCCGCCTACTACGGCCACCCCGCCGCCCTTCTCTGCCTGCTGCGGGCGGGCGCTGACATGACGCTGCGTGATAAGACGGGCGAGACCGCGCTGCAATCGGCCAAGGAGAGGGGCCACACCGAGTGCGTGCGCGCCTTCGAGGAGCATGCGGCGGCCAAGGCGGCGGCCGAGAAGGCGGCGAAGGAGGCGGCGTGGGCTGCGGGGGCGGCGGAGAGGGCGGCGGCGAGGGCGGCGGCGGAGAAGGAGGCGGCGCGGCACGCCGACGAGCTGCTGGCGGAGGTCGAGGCGGAGAAGCGCGCCAAGGGCAAGAAGGGCAAGAAGAAGAAGAAGGGCGGCGGGAGTGGCAGCGCTGGGCCGTCGCAGGAGTCCGAGGCGCCTTCAGAGGAGGCAGCCGCAGCCAAGCCCGCGAAGCTGGACAGGGAGGGGTTGATCAGGCTTCTCGAGACGCTCCACGAGGAGCGGATTCGGTACGGCATCACGGCGGAGACGTCGGTCGAGGGATTGGCGGAGGCGCTGGGAGAGGCGGCGGGCGAGGCGAGCGAGGAGGAGGGCGACGAGGAAGCGGAGGCGGGCGAGGAGGAGGGCGAGGAGGAGGGCGAGGAGGAGAGCGAGGCGAGGGAGGCGGCCGCGGAGGCGCGACGGAAGGCGGACGCCGAGGCGGCAGCGGCAGCGGCAGCGGCGGCGGAGGAGGAGGAGGCCGCGGCGGCGGAGGAGGCCGAGGCACTGGCGGCGGCGGAGGCGGCCGTTGCCGCCGCCAAGGCGAAGCGCGCGGCCCGCACAGCCGCCGCCAGGGCCAGGGCAGAGGCGGCCATGGCGGCAGCAGAGGCGGCAGCAGAGCTCTCGTAGCTCTCACACCTCACGGGAGACGCGCCTTGCTGACACTGTTGCGTGGTTGGGACCCGCCCTGTGGAGCGAGCAAGGGTCCCCATTTATGTGTTCTACTTACTGTACGGGCCGTGTCTCCAGGCCGGAGGCGACTGTGGTGTGTGGACCCAGGTCCCTGTCGGTCTGTGTGTCTGACATGTTGTGCCCAACACTGGCTGGAGATTTTGCGCTCGCTGCTGGACTGCAATCTGCATGTGCATCTCGCAGCAGCTGAGGACCCGTTAGTCATTTGTACAGAGCAAACGTATAGAACCTGACGGCCGCGACGCCGCCGTGTGGGCCAGTGCCACTGTCGTGTGCCCCCTCGAGACCCGGTCCCCTGCACGTGCACCCCCCCAGCACGCAGCGACACGAGCAAGTAGCCCCCCCCGCTCTAAGTCCCGCTCTCTCCCCCCCTCTCTCTCCCAACTCCCCCGCGCGCTTTGCTCCCCCGCCCCCGCCCTCCCGCCAGCGCAGCACTAGACAGAGCAGCCTTCAGATCGAGGCCATGGCCTGCTGCGCGCGCGCCTTTTTGAACTGCGAATACATGTAGTAGGCGCCGCCCCAGATGAGGATATTCCCCGAGCCGAGCACGGCGAGCACGAGGAGCACCTTGCCGAGCGACATGATGGCGGGCATCGCGTCGGCGGGCGTGAGTGCCTTCGCCTCGTCGAGCATGGCGCGGAAGATGGGGGGCGCGAAGATTGCGACGCAGAGCCGGTCCCACACAAAGGTGCCTAGGATGGAGATGCCGACGAGGGTCATCAGCTTGTAGCGGAAGGCGTCGTTCGGCATTGGCTCCAGGTGGATGAGCTCGTTGACCTCGGGGAAGATGCCCCACGCGCAGACGGCGCAGCCGGCGACGGTCGCAAAGACGGAGAGGAAGAGGGGGTGGTTCTCGGAGATGCCCTTCATCCAGGGCCTCCCCTTGTAGTGATCTGTGATCTGTGAGGGTCCGCCCGCAGGCGCATTTTGTATACCGAGGCGGTGCCCGGTGCCGAACCTGTCGGACCTTAAGACAGCATTGTAGATCCCTGGGCGAGGGTGGTGGCGTCCCCGTCGGGTCAGGGCTGAAGGCGGGGGAGACCAACCCGATCTCTCCGGCGTCCCGGGAGCGTGATTGACACCTCCCCCCGTGCCAACAGCCCCATGGAGGTAGGCCGCTCGTCTAGCCAATCAGCCTTAAGCGAGCGGCCTGGCCGTTGGAATGGCCGAGAGTGTCGGCCGGCCGTTCGGTCTCTTCCCCGGGGGGGGCCTCAATGACCTAGTTGCCCGGCCGAGAAGGGGAGGACGACTGTCCCTGACGGCGAACCTCAGTTACGAGCCGCCCTCCCCTCGAGACGCGAGGCCAGTGCACTTGGGGCCAAGCCCCAGCGTACACCGTCCCACACGCCTCACGCGGCCTCTGGCTGGAGCGGGATCGCAAGCGAGTCCCCCAGGCCGGCGCGCGTCTTCCGAGAGAGGAGCAGGAGCGAGGGACATTCTTAGTAAGCCGGCATGCAGATGCATGCACGGCCGTTCAGAAACTCTCCAGCCGTTGGAATGGCTGCGCTCCCGCCCCTCACGCCAGGTGGACAAGCGGGGGGGAGGTCAATGACCTGCCTAGTAAGCCGACATGCCAGGCATGCCGACCTTTCGGAGCCCCCCCTCGTAGACGTGTGCCGCTGGGATCATTCCAGTACGCCCGAGGGCGACGGTCCCCCGGTAGTAGACGTTGGCGCCGAAGAGGGGGGAGTCGCCGAAGGACGGGTAGTCGTCGGTCATGCGGGGGAAGGAGGAGTCGGCGAGCAGCAGGGAGGAGAAATGCCTGAGAGGGTGGGGAGGGAGGCGTGAGGCGCGAGGTGAGGGGGCGCGGGGCGCGGGGCGTGCGTGGGACGCGAGGCGTGAGGCGCAGGGCGTGAGGCGGGAGGCGCGGGGCGCTCGAGGTTGGGGCAGGGTGTGTTGTGTGTGTATATGTGTGTGTGTATGTGTGTGTGTGTGTGTGTGTGTGTGTGTTTGTTTGTTTGTGCGAGGGCAGGGCAGGGCAGGGCGGGGCGGCGGCGAGCGGCGAGCGGCGTCGGCGAGATCGGCGACGAAGAGAGGCGATGGTGACGTACACGGCGGCAGTGTTCACGGCAGCAGCGCCGGTGGCGGCCCCGCGCAGCGGCGGCGGCGCCCTGAGTGAGGCAGACTGCCCTGCACAGCCTGCTGGGAACGCTCCCGACGAGCGGCGAGCCATGCGGGCCCGCCGCGGGCGACGCGGGCGGCGAGCCGACACGCGTGTCGCAGGCGTAGACAGCACTGGCGAAGCGAGGCGGCCGGCGCCGGCCCCGGAGGCGGCTGCAGTAAGAGCAGCGAGGCAGAAGTCACTGTCCAAGGCGTACTGAGCAGGCTGCCATCGAGCAGCGCGCCATGCGGGCCTGCCGCCGGCGACGAGATTGGAGAGCCGACAGGCATCAAAGAGGTAGGTACTGAGGAGGGCCATCGCGCCCGAGGCGGTCCGCGCCGGCCCTGCAGGCCGTCTCAGAGAGCCTGGCGAGGCTGTACAGAATGCCAAGAGCATACTGAGCAGGCTGCCGTCGAGCGACGAGCCATGCTGGCTCGTCGCAGGCGATGAGGTCGAGGAGCCGATCGGAGCGTCGCAGAGGCTGCCGACCACTGCCGTTCGCCCTCGGGCCCAGGGGTGGAAGGCAAGCTTCCTGGCGTTTCTGGCGAGCGTCCAGACGTCGCAGAGCATCCGGCAGGCGCGCAGCGACCCAAATTTTTGCTCACCGCACGGCCGTGCGAGCCGTCGGTCGGTGGTGATGGTCGGCGTCGGCGCGCGCCGCCCAACGCGGCGGCGGTGGGCGTCATGTGGCGGGCGTGGGAAAGAGCATCATTGTCCGAATTGCGGCGGACGTCGTTCGTCCCCTAGTAGTTGACGAGCAGCACGCCGATGCACTGCGCCGTCTCGACGAGGAAGACGCACGTGTTGAGCAGGTTGGGCATGAAGGGCGTCGTCCACAGCGCCATCGCCTGCGCCATGTAGTCGCCCTCCTCCGAGGCGGCTTGCTGCGCCTCCTCCTTCAGCTCGCGCAAGCGCTCGCGCCGGAAGAACTCGACGACCTCCTGCAGCCGCTCGGGGCCCATCTCGTCGCGCGCCATGTTGACGGCCGCGCGCATCGCGAAGAGGTGCAGCACCGCCTGCCCAAACATCGAGAAGAAGATGGCCGGGTGGAAGAGCGACCGGAGCGGCCGCTGCGGGTGCATCTGCTGGATGGGGGTGGCGTACGAGAAGGCGAGCTGCGCAATCATGAGCAGCCACGAGGAGGCGATCATCTGCCGCTCCGACGAGCGCGCGCCCTCGAGCGAGAGCGCCGACAGCACGTACGCCGAGATGAGGCTCTCGAGCATCATGATCTGCTGCTGCTGCAGCGCGGAGAGCAGCGTGCAGCGGCCCTGCCGCACCAGGTCGACGATGTTGCGCACCGACGGCGAGCGCGACGTGAAGGGCGAGGCGGACGGCGTGCCGTCCCCCCCCCCTGGAGCCTCGGCCGCCGCACCCCGCCGTCCGCGCCCCGCCGCCACCCCCTCCGTCACGGCACACGCCGGCACCACCGCTACTACCGCTGGCTCCGCCCTAGACGCCGCCGACCGCTCGCAAGAGCGGCGAGCCCGCGGCCGACATCCTTCTGACGGTCGACGGCTACTTTCGAGGCTTTGTGGCTTTTTAAGAGGGGTCCAGCAGCTCGGGGGGTGCGCGCTGGATGGCCGGCGCGGTGGAGCAGCGGCGCGGAGCCGGGGGTGCGATGTGCGGCCGTCGGTGGCGCGACACGCGGCCTCCGGCGGCGATTCGCCGCGGCTCCGGCGGTGCGATTTTTGTGCGTTTTCGAAGGCTGTGGGCGGGATAAGGCCGGCTAGACCGGCCCTGGTGTGCCCTAGTGTGTTCCCTTACACCCCTGGCCCGGGAGCAGTAGCGCGGCGCGCGTCCCGAGGGCGTAGGGGCTCAAAAAACAATTTATTATGTTTTCAGCCACTTAGAGCACACAGTGGTAGCCATTTTTAGGCTTCAACTGGTCCCAAAATAGTAGCAACACCTCATGGAAATCAGTCAAAAAAGCCCCAAAAAATCGGCGCCTGCGGCGGCGGGCGGGCTTCCTGGGGCTGCGCCCCAGACCCCCTTGACTGGGGGGGACCCCCCCGAGAGCACCCCCGGTCGCCCCCGGGGGCCCGTCGACTACCCAGGGCTACACAATGTCCGCCCCCCTGCCCTTGTGGGCTGCCAATTTTAGATGGGTGCAGCCCGTCCGTGCGTCCAACGGCGCTGGGATCCACGGAAAGCGCCAGCAACCGCCTGACCGCCTGACTCTCGCAGGCCGCATTCGGCTGCGTGCGTCGACTCATGTTGGGGGCTTGGTCGCCACGCAGTGTCGGGCACAAGAATTCAATGAGGAGGCCGTTTGTTATGACCCCCCCCCAATGAACACACCAGTGAGGGAGGGCGAGACGGTCGAGGGGTCCCGTACCACGCGGAATCGACCCTATCCAGTGCTCAAGTGCTCAATGAGGAGGCCCGATCTCGATGTAACAGGATCGCCGCTCCGACCGCCAGCGTGGAGAAGCGGGCTATCATTGCAGGACCTTGCACTCTGCGGTGGGCCTTGCACTCTCTCAGCCACCGCACGTGCTCACCCGCAGCGCTGCCGGGCGTGCCCATCAAATGCGCCGCCGCTGGACGTCTCCGCCGCCTCCAAGGCGACCGACGCCACGTGATATGCGCGACCACCGTGAGAGGTCTGGACGGCTCGCTGCGACCTCAAGGCCAGCCTCGCCGCCCGCCGTGAGCGCCAAAAAAGCGTCAACCGCGCAACCGCGCAACCGAGAGAGAGCCGCCGAGACGCTTCAGCGACCCGCCAGGAGCCGGGCCGAGGCCTGTCCGAAGCCGCATGCCGCTCGAGTCGGTCGCCTGGAGCACCCTGGGAGGCGCCCGTCGAAGCAAAGCTGTGCTGGGGAGAGAGAGAGAATTCTTGATACGAAACCACGACGACACACACCAGTCGACTCGCATCGGTTGCCTCCATGAACGGCGGAGCTATTCTCGCGCCCACACCACACCTGGCTCCAACGTGGACACGCCCATAGCTGGTTCTCTCTCTCTCTCTCTCTCTCTGCTGGGGACACGGCCGGATCAGACTTGAACCGTCTCGAGGTCTTGAGGTCCGTGCGAAGCCGCCCAGTGCTGCACCCAGTGCAAGGAGCCCGAACCAGCAGACAGGGACGACAAGTGGGTGAAGGCCTACAAAAATATGGCGGCCTGTAGCGCGTACGCACACTGCGCCTCTCTCGCCGGTGACTGCTGCCCCACGACCGGCGGAGTCGTCCTCGACTGCTGCGGACTGCCGGCGTTGCCGTTGCCAAGCATTTCGCCGAGCTCACCGCTCCACAACTTCGTGCCGGTACGCCGGAGCGAGGGCAAAGGCAAGGGCAAACCCGCCCGAGGGCAAAGGCCGCCGCAATTGGCACCTCTGTCGGGTGACGTCTTTGGTGGCCCGCCGCTGAGCGAGTGCAGTGGGCCGGCTGACCATTGCTCGCCCTTTCCGCCAGTCGACCACCCGCTCTCGCCCGGGGCGGTGTGGGGTCTGCGCCGCTCTTCGCCTCCGCTGCCGACTCACGAATGGTGGATGGGCCTTGCGCTCAGTGCGCCGCCGGCGGGCGCGGCCGAGGCGCCGCCGGGCAGCGCGGCGTTCGACATGCTTCCGTTCGTGGTGGAGGTGCGGCGCGGCGGGCTGTGGGCGTCGTTGCCTCGCGAGCCCGAATCGCCAGAGGTCGCCGTCGTCGGCGTCCTTTCGCGCGAGCGCGGGGTGCGTCTCGGCTGCGCCGGCCGCGCCGCCTCGAGCTACCGCATCGTCGCGTGGGACGCACTGTCAGTGAGTGTCGAGTGGCGCGCAGAGGGAGGGGAGGGAGGCGGAGGGGAGGCGGCTCTCTACCGCGCGCCTCTGGTGCGGGGCATGCCATACGCCACGGTGAGCTACGGCTCCGGGGCGTGCCGCGCGCCGCTGGTCGAGTTCTTGCACGGCTCCATCCTCTCGCTCAACGGGCAGGCCGCCGCGGCGGGACGCCTCGAGGCGTCTGGCACGCGGTTCGAGGTGCGTCTCGACACGGGTGTCCGGTGGCTCCTCTACGCCTCACAGCCTCTCTCCCTCGCCACCTCCGGCGCCGCAACCCTGGAGGCGGCCGGCGGAGGCGGCGGCGGAGACGGAGGCGGCGGAGGCGGAGGAGGCGAGGCGGGAGGAGGGTTCGAGGGCAGCTTGCGGGCGGTGATCGCCGACTCGGACGCGGCCGCTGCTGTCCTCGACCGCCACGCACGACGCGTCCCGCTCTCGGCCGCCGCCGCTTCGCAGGGCTCTGCAGTTTCGCAGGGCTCTGCAGCTTCGCAGGGCTCTGCCGCCGCCGCTGCGGGCTCTGCCGCCGCTGCTGCGGGCTCTGCCGCCGCCGCTGGCCTTCCAGGGGTCGGTGCGACGGTCGACGGGGTCGGGGACGGCGCGCACGGGCGGCTCCGCTTCGCGTGGAGGAGCGAGGGGGAAGGGGCGCTGCTGATGATGGCGCTGCCGCACCAGCTTGCCGGCCTCGCCGCCGCCGCCGAAAAGGGCGGGTGGGCGGGGGAGCTGCTGCCGGAGCTGGCGCAGTGGAGCGCCAAAGGCACCTCGCTCGGCGTGGCGAGTGACGACGGAGCGTGGACCCAGCGCCTCCCCCTCGGACCTGCGGTGCGGTGGGGGGCGGCCCGCCCTCCCGCCGCCAGCCGCGTGCCTCGGCTGCGCGCCGCGCTGCGTGCCGACGCGGCGAGCAAGCGGGTCGCGGCGGCAGACTCCTACGGGACCGGCAAGGAGGTTGGCGCGCTCGGCCGGCTGGCCCTCATCGCCGACGAGCTGGGCGAGGCCGACGCCGCCGCCACCGTGCGAGGCCGCCTCGCCGCCGCGCTCGACGCTTGGCTCGATTGCGACGGCGGGAAGGCGCCGTGCCGTTTCTCGTACGACCGCAGCTGGGGCGGCGTCGTGCCAACTGAGGCGCTCGCCGATCCGGCCGCCTCCTTCGGCGTCGGCTGGCACAACGATAAGCACTTCCACTACGGCTACTTCCTGTACGCCGCCGCGGCGCTCGGGCGCGCCAACACGACGTGGCTCGCCGCCCGCACGCCCGCGCTGCTCACCTTGGTCGCGGACGTCGCAAGCCCGAGCGCCTCCGACCGGCGCTTCCCGCCGCTGCGCCACTTTGATGCGTTCTGCGGCCACTCTTGGGCGCTGGGCCTCTTCGCCTCCTCGGCGGGGCGCAACCAGGAGAGCGTGTCTGAGGCGCTCAACGCGTGGCACGGCATCGCCCTCCTCGGCCTCGCGTTGCGCAACGAGCGCCTGGTTTCGCTCGGCCGCCTGCTGGCTGCGGTAGAGACGCAGGCCGCGGCCGTCTACTACCACGCCGGGGCGAGTCCCGTCGCCTGGGGCTCGGCGTCGTTCGTGCCGCGCGTGTACCCGCCTCGCTGGCCGCGCGACGGCGTGGTCGGCAACTTGTGGGGGCTCAAGGCCGAGGCGTCGACTTGGTTCGGGCGGGAGGACTACTTCATCTTTGGCATCCAGGTGATCCCGCTCACGCCCCAGGCGTCGGAGCCGCTGCTCGACCAGAAATGGGTTGCCGCCAGCAGGGCCAGCTGGGAGACGTCGATGCGCAGACTGCCGGCAAAAGACGAGACGTGGAGGGCGTTTCTCGTCGCAATGCTTGCGGTGGTCGACAGCGGCGCGGCGTGGCAGCGCGCAGAGTCGCTGGGCGCACTCGACGCCGGCATGACACTCACCAATTTGCTGCACTGGATCGCGACGCGGCCGCCGCCGGCGGGGGCAGCCGCGGGCGCGTCGCAGCCGACGCTCGCCCCGCCGGCCGAAGAGAAGCTGGAGGCCCAAGCGCGAGTGGAGGGTGAAGAGCGGCTGGAGGCCGCGTTGCCGGCCGCCGTGCGGGTCTTCGGCACCTTCACCGAAGACGAGGTGCTCGAGGCTGCCGCTACGGCGGGCGGCGCGCTCCTCGTGTCGGCAGTCGTGGTTGGGATGTGGTTGTGGGCGGCGGGGCGCCAGCGCGCACGGCTCGGCCCGCTCGCGTCTCGGGCGGGCAGGGATGTGGACTTTGCCGCGTGGCTCGCCCTCGGCGGACCGACCGGCAACGAGCTCGCCGCGACGCCGCCGACGCGGGGCTCTGCGCGGCGCTCCGGCAGCCGCGGCAGCCGAGCGGCCCAGTCCAGCTGCTGCAACAGCGCCAGCGTGCACGGCGCCAGCCTGCACGGCGCTTTCGAGCGCTCCCTCGCGTCGGACGCAGCCTCGGCGCAGCTCGTGCAGCATTTCAAGGTGACGCCGACCTCGGGCTCGGCCAGCGCGGCGCAACGGTACCAGCAGCTGGAAATCGGGACCGACTCGGCGCCATCCAGTCCACACTGAGTGTTGCGCTTTGTTGGACTCCTCGCGCGTGCCTCAAGGAACACACGAGCGAGCGGCGCCGCGTTTTGCTAGATCCTAGAATATACTCTCTCGGTCGTCTCTCGATCGAGTGTGTCATCGCGCAAATCCTAGTGTGTCGCGCCGGGTACTTGGATGGGGCGAATCGCTGCCCCCTTCCCCCCACACCCCCCAGCGTCCATGGATGGATGCTTGCTTGGACCCCCCCAGGGAGATACCCCCCAGGGTGGAGGGGAGGGATGGGAGCCCAGCGCCAGGGGAGACGAAAGAAGGGCGAGGAGGACGAGCGGCCCGCACAGACCGCGCCGAGCAGACAGCGCCTGCTGGCCGTCTCGAGACATTCGCAAAGAACGCTAGCTACATGGGAGGGCTTCGTGAAGGATGGATTGAAAAACATTCGAACGAAGAAGAGGCGACGGGCCGACGGGAGGAACCCCGGCAGAGGATGCAGTGACGTGACCCCCCCCCTCACACACACAGACACACACACACACGCGCACACACACACACACACACACACACACACACACACACACACACACACACACACACACACACACACACACACACACACCACCGCTCACCCACGCGCACTGGGCCTTGCACTTTGAATGCCGTGAACTCCGTTCCCTCCTCCGCTCCCTCCTCTCTCCGCCCTCGTCAGCTCCCAGCTCTGCCCCGTCGTCGTCGCCCAGCGCCGCACCCTCCTCTTCTTCTTCTCCACCGTCGGCTCCCTCCTCCCCACCGCCCGCACCACCCTCCGCCCCGCCATCCCCCCCGCCTCCTCCGAGTTCTCCGCCGCCTCCCTCCCTCCCACCGCCTGCTCCGCCGCCTGCTCCCACTCCACCTCCACCTGCTCTGCCTCCCCCGAGCCTTCCTTCACCGAGCCCCCCCCCATCCAGCCAGCCAGCCCCGGTGTGCAAGTCATTCTGTGAGGACAAGACGCAGGCCTGGGATGACAAGTGCACCTGGGGGGGTTGCAACGGCTGCTCCGAGTGCCTGCCCTAAGCCCGCGACGGGAAACTCCCCGCGACGGGAAAACGCCCGCCCCCTGCCCGGCGCGGCCTTGGGGCTTGGGCGGCCCCGCCCCACAGTTGGCAGCGCCAAGGTAAGTGCCAAGGTTTTTATTTTTATGAATTGTCGCGCGCCGAGAGTCGAGAGAACCACGAGTTGACGACGCCTAGACGTGCATGTTACGGCAGGGGGGGCTAGGCCTAGCTTGTACACACCGACGACGGTGTACCATACGACCTCGAGGAACACTCGTACACAAACATTACCCCTCGAGCGCCCCGATCGCCTCCGTCACCGCGGCCACGAGCCGCGACGCCTCCCCCTCGCTGCGCGGCCCGTCCCTCCTCCACCTCGCCGCGTCGTGGTGCCTCGCCGCGTTCGCCCAGATGCGCAGCGAGTGCAGCTGGTTCCGCAGCTCGGCCGGCAAGCCGCACTGGCGGTGCCAAAAGTTGATGCGCTCCTCGAAGCCATCGGGCGCCGCCGCAGAGCGCGAGGCGTAAACAGCGTCGAGGCGCGGCATCAGCGTCTTGAAGGCGAGCAGCATGTTGTCCTGGATGCGCGCCTGCGCGTGCGCATGCCGCGCACCTGCACCGAGAGCGGCGAAGGCTCGTAGCCGGTGGTGCGAGCGGCTGCTGTGGCGGCCTCGTCTCGAGGTGCCAGCGCAGCCTCCTCCACCCCCGCCCCTCTCTGCGAGCCAGAGAGCATCGCCTGCAAAGTCGTGAGAGCCTCGGGCAGCGTCGGCCTCTTGCGCAGGCTGTTGTGGCAGAGGCTCTTCTGCCCGTCTCCCGCCTGCGCGAGGTCCTTGACAGCGCGAGCCGCGTCGGCTGGCCAGCCCGCAGCCACGTCGGCGAGCTTCGCCGCGTCGATGTCGGTCCAGTCCTCCTCGAACTCGTCCTCGCACCGGTCGGTGAGCTGCACCTCGGACCGGTTGGTGAGGCAGACGAGGAGGGTGATGCCGATGGCGTAGCCGTCCGTCTTGCTCGAGTACTCGCCCCCTTTGATGATCGAGGGGCAGAGGTAGCCCGTGGTCATGTAAAGGGCGGCAGTCGAGCGGCAGCGGATAGACGCGTCTGGCCGCTGGTCCTTGGCGAAGCCCGTGTCGGCGAGGACAGCGGTCAGCTTCTCGTCGAGCAGGATGTTGTCCGGCTTGACGTCGCGGTGCACGATGCCCTTGGAGTGGAGGTAGACGAGCGCCTCGGTCGCCTCGCAAACAATGCGAACGCGCTGCCGCCACGTCAGCGGCCTCGGCGCCTCCGCCATCCCCAGCCGCCGGAGCTGCGCAGCGCGGTCGGGATCCGAGAGGCGCAGCCGCGCCTCTCGAGCGAGCCGCCGCGCATCAGCGGCGAGAGAAGGCAGACGCCGTCGGGCGAGAGGCAGTAGCCGAGCAGCGGCAGCAAGTGCGGGTGGCTCACCGCCTTGAGCAGCTTCACCTCGAGCTCCGCCCGCGACAAACCGCCGGACTGGCCCGACTTTGCCCGCTTGACGACGAGCGGCAAGTTGGGGGTGTGATGGTGTGATGGTGTGATGGAGGTGTGGGGGTGTGATGGTGTGATGGTGTGAGGTGTGATGGTGTCATGCGGGTACAAGGACGCCCCGGGGGCAAAGACGAAATCAGCGAGGTCAAACTTTGGACCCCCCTCCGGGGTGGCTTGCCCGTTGGGGTCGGCCGCACCGCCACCGGAGGCAACCCCGGCTCCGTTGGAGACAAGTTCGCCTTCGGCAACACCGAAGAGCGCGCCCGCCTTGCAAACATGGGCTGCAAGCAACGGGGTTCCGTGGTCAACGGGCGTTCGACCACACCACCGGCCAAGGCTACGTCAAGTCACAGCGTGGCCACTACCATGATGGGATCTTCACCAAACGAAACAAGTTCAACCTGCTTCTCCACGAGACATTCGGCGGCGGCTTCTCGCCGCCTGCAGTTGCAAAGATCAACCGCCTTGCGCGCAAGGCTCAAGCCTCAACGCTCGGGCGTTGACCGCACCGCGATCCGCGTACGCCGTACGGTAAAGTACCCTCCCCCACTCCCGCCTCTCATTTGTGTCACACCACCCTCTCCCTTTAGTTTTGCCAAAAGTCTTTAAAGCCTTTTCTCCCAGGGGGTAAGCTAAAAGTACGTACACAAGAGAGAGAGCGTACACAACGAGGGTGTGTGCCGCAGCCGGGCAAACGCGTGAGCGTTTTCTTTCTTTTGCACCGCGCAGGCGGACACGCCGCATCCTCTCCCCACCCGTCCTCCGAATCCCGCCACACCACTCAAAGATCCGCCATCACGAGTACCCATGGCCGTGCGAGTACTGCTCTCGCCGCTCTCGCTCCCGCTCCCGCCGCCGCCGCTCGGCCTCCTCCAGCCGCTGCGTCATGTCGATCGCGGTGGCGAACGCGTAGAGGAGGAGCGGCGACGTGCCCTTTGCCAGGCTCAGCCGGTGCACGTCTGCGCTCGAGTCGACCAGCAGCGCCTGAGCGGCGGCGGCGGCGGCGGCGGCGGGGTGTGTGTGCGTCGCCTCTCTCTCTCCCCCTCCCTCCCTCCCTCTCTCCCTCCCTCTGCCTCTGCCTCTGCCTCTGCCTCTGCCTTTCCCTCTCCCTCTCCCTCTCTTTCCCTCCCTCTCCCTCTCTCTCCCCCTCTTCCCCCCCCCCCCCCCCCTGTTTCTAGCGCCTCTGCGCCGAGGTAGTACTCCGCCTCGTATGTCGCGAGCACGTCGTCGTCGCCAGCAAAGGGCGGGAGCCACAGCGTCCCTACAAAGTGAGTACGCCAACATCAGGGCGGGAAGCGAATACAGAGGATGCAGCTGAATACGGCCGAATCCGTGTCCTCTCGGGTGCTAGCTGGAAGACCTTAAGGTGCAAGAATGCGTGTATTCTGCCTCTAGGACAGGTGGCCCCACGGGTCTGGCGTGGCGCCGTCGCGGATCAGCACGAGCTGCTTGAGCAGGAGTGGGACCTGCGGGGAGATCTGGGGAGATCTGGGGAGATCTGGGGAGATCTGGCGAGATGTGCTTGAGCAGGAGTGGGACCTGCGGGGAGATCTGGGGAGATCTGGGGAGATCTGGCGAGATGTGCTTGAGCAGGAGTGGGACCTGCGGGGAGATCTGGAAAGGGCTGGGGAGATCTGGGGAGATGTGTTTGAGCTGGGACCTGCGGGGAGAGTTGGAGGGTTGGAGGCGGCCAGGGTGGTGGTGGCCTGCTGGGCAGAGGTGGTGGCACGGTAGAGCAGCGGCCACCCGCCCCACTCCCGCCACTCGCGCTCGTTGGCCGCCGAGCCGTTCGAGACCTGCATCTCGTACTGCGGGAAGCCGGGGAAGCTCAGCCGCTCGCGCACCATGCCAAACGGGTGCAGGCGCCGGCCGCCGCCGAACCAGTCGCTCGTGCTCGCGCGATGCGCAGGCCACAGTGGCTCGAAGGAGTAGAGCTGCCAGACGTACGCCATCGTGGCGGACTCGAGCGCAATGGACGCCGCCTCGGCCACGCTTCCGGCACCGGCGGAGCCAGCTGCGTCGAGGAAGCCCTCGCCGGCCGCCCAGGGGACACGCCGCATGAGCAGCAGATCCCGCCCTGCTGCGTCGCTCAACACCACCGACTGGAGCGGAGCCCACCAGCGCCCAGACACGCGGTAGAGCAGCGGCGGCTCCGAGCCGGGCGACGCGGCCCCGTGCATTGAGCCCATGTTGGCAGACAGGCAGTTTGGGTCGCCAGAGTCGAGCAGACAGATGAGCGGTATGTCCCGCCGCACGACGGTCTCTGTCGCTCGCGTCGTTATGGCCCTGTCCGGAGATCTCCACGCCTCAAGAGCGCCGTCGTGACCATGCAGGACGCTCGAAGCCGGCAAGTTTGTGCAGAAGCGGCTCAGGCCGAGAGAGCTGGACGCCCAGCCAAGCGCTTCACAGGGCGCCCAACTGACGCGCGCGGGGCGATGCCTGACCGCGGCGAGAAAAGGCAAGATGGAGACCGCGCAGAGTAGACCGGCGAGTCTGAGCGGGCCGGCGCGAGGAGTTCTTGCTGTCTCCATTTTTGGGAGCCTTCGTCGACGAAATTCAGCTGGGTTTTCTTCTGAGAAAAAATAAGAGCGCTCCCGCGGCGATCAACACCGCAACTCCTTTTCTAAATCGTCTTCGCCGCCGGCTACGCGCACAGACACAGTACGCGCACAGACACAGTACGCGGCAGCGCCGACACGTCAACCCGCGTGTACGTCAGCGACGGGTCCCGCACGCCGCACGAGGCGCATGCGTGCAGCGGCAGCGCGTGCGCCATGCGCTCGTCGCTCCACTCGCCCAGCAGCCGCCGCTTCGTCTCGTCGGAGACGTGCACGCAGCGCTGCAGCAGCGCCGCCGTCTCGTCCTCGGGCCGCTCCAGGTCCATGACGACGTTCGTCGAGGCGTGGAAGCGCGTCTCCAGGTCGATGGCCGCCTGCTCGGCCGCGGCGAGCTTGCCCTGGTCGACGCACATGCCGCACACCGCGTGCGCCGGGCAGCCACACTGGCCGCGTTGTGGGCGCACGGTCTTGGCGACCGCCGGCGCTGCGCGCCGGTCGTGCTGCTCACGCTGCCGGCGGCGCTGGTCGCGCGCCTGCCGATCGCGCGTGTTCGCGGCGGCTGCATCTCCTGCTCGTTTCGCTCGCACCCGAGCGGCTGTCGCCAGGCGCTTCAGGTCGGCGGTGCTGCGCGCGCGGCCGTCGGCCAGGCACAGCCACATGTCCTCCTCCTTAGTTAGCAGGCTCGCACGGCTTGCCGTCGAACTGCGGCTGGCGCCCGCGACGATGCTTCGCCCAGGCCGGGCACGATGGTGCCGCGACGAGCGGCGTCGAGGCGACGGCCATCGATGGGTCCAGAAGACTTGGAGACACTTCTCGACCAAAAAATCAAAAAAATCGAGCACAATTGCGTTACATGGGCATGGCCGGGGTTTCTGCACCGAACGATCTTACTTTCGGTCTATCGAAAGTGTTGATCAATAAAATAGGTGGCTGGCCACTGGACACAGATCGAGGCCGAAATAAATCGGGGCACTCCAAGTGCTCCAAGATCGGAGAAGAAATTTGTGGGAACGAAGGTAAAAAACAAAAAAACGCATCGCTTCTATGATTTTATTTTTGAACCTGCTCTCCATTGGTTCCTAGCGTATTTCAATGTTGTCGTGACCTGTGAGCTGTGTACCTTGTGCTGACCTGTGATGTGTGAGCTGTGACCACAGCGGCACCGCGGCACCAGACCACCAGCCATAGGGGCAGCAGTTTTGTTCGTTCACACCGTTTCCTTATTTCACGCCCCGGGGGTTTTGCACTGAGGTTCCCTTGCGATATCCAGTGAGCGCCTCGCTCGTGTACACGGTGCGCCAGCCGGCGAGTATGGTTGACATAGCGAATGCCTTGTCCTCTCCCACTTTCTTGTCCTTGCGCTGCCTGATCGAATTCATCACCTCCGCACGGACGGTCGCGTGGCCATAGTGCACCGGCCCGGTTGTCTTCCAACTGGGATGATCAAAGCGGGCGTCGCCGCGCCTCTCGGAGTCGGCCGTCCTCGCGATCGCCACGTAAACACTGGGCGGTGTCACCACGAAAGGCGCTCGTGCGGGCCAGCGCGGCTGCTGGTCCGTGAAGGGTACGTAGGAGTGAAGACCCAGGTCGGCGTGGTGTTCATCGAGCAGTGACAGCATGCGTGCAATGCCCGCTGGGTGCATCACATCGTCAGCGTCAAGGAAGGTGACGAAGGTTGCGTTGCCACACGCGCTCGCACCGCGATTGCGGTTGGCGCCGCGTGTCCAGCCGGTCTCAGAAGAGCACACGATGAGTTCGCCATGGCTGAGCCGCTTGTGTAGCACATTGCACTGGTGCGGTTTTACGTGTGATGAGACGACCACGATCTGGTCAGGTGGGCGTGTCTGTTCCCGCAGCGACAGCAGTGCACGCGGTAGTAACCTCCAGTGCGCAGGCACCGATGGCACGACAGCGCAGACGGTGGGCTCCAGGACGGTCGTCGAGTTGGCCACGTCCGAGCCAAGGGCGTGCCCCGCGAGAATCCCGGGGTCGCCCCGCACCGCCGCGGCCGGGAGGAGGAGGGGGAGAAGGGAGAGGTGTAGGGAAGCCATACAAGCACCACCCGACCGGGATCTGCGCGGTAATTTTTGCTGGGGGCGGATGTCATGCGGGGTAGGTAGGGTATGCACGTATCGTCGTCGTCGTCTCTAGCCAGTCACTCAAACTCTCAGAGATGGGCTAAAGAGGATCCGGTACTTGGATGCCCAGTCCGGACCGCGCCCGCCAGGTTTCTACCAAGGGAGGGATGGATGCCTCTTTCGGAATGATTGATGCATTCGGGTTGCCTCAATACCGCTTCCTAGATCGCACACCCGTTTGACGAGGAGAGGGTGGTAATGGTGGGAAGTTGAGTTCTCTTCGCTGTTTACGTTGCGTCTCGGACGCGGTTTACGTTGTGACAATGAGTCACGATCCCTCCTCACGGTGGGTTGGGTTTGTCGGTTCCTCTCCTCGCGTTGTCGGATAACCTTGAGATCCCTCTATCACGTAGCGTCACATCAAGTCGTAGACCCCTCCCTCCCTCCCACCGCACCCCCCTCCCTCCCACCCAACCCACCTCTCACCAACACAAACAACACTGAGGGAGGGTGTAGAGGATGTAGAGTGTAGAGCGCTGTAGAGCTGTAGAGCTGTAGAGCTGTAGAGCGCTGTAGAGCTGTAGAGCTCTACATCCGCCGCGGGACGAACTGCGTGCGTTGTAGAGCGATGTAGAGGCGCTCTACAACGTGAAATCTCTGCATGTCGTCGCACCATCCCATCTCCGTGTACGTCTTCGTCCACAATTGAACCGCGTTGCGAAGGCGCTGACAAGTCACCTCCTCCCTATAAGACATCGGCCTCGGCCCGAGAATCACCGTCACGGCTCTTCGACGTCTCGCCCTGCTCCGACGCCTCGTCGTGGACGACGCGGCCATGCCTCGACCGGCTACACCCACAGCTCCATCCTCGTCACCTCGCTCGCGACGCTCTCTCTCCACCAACGGCCTCAATGTACTGCTCAGATCGCTAGTCGCCGGCAGGACGACGCCCGAATGCGGCGCCTCGCCAGCCTCGTCGCTCCTGACGGCGCCATCCGTGTCTTCCGGCGGAGGCATCGCGTTTTGAGCCACAACGGACTGCGCGCTCCGCTTTTCGAACCACCAAAACTCGCCGACCCAGGTCCAGGTCCAGGTCCAGGTCCAACAAGTTTGCGCCCGGCCCTCTAGCGCCGCGCGCTGGCCCCGGCTGCGTCCCCGCGTGGCCTGCCCGATGGCGTGGTGCCCGCCCTCCACCCACCTCCCCGCGCGGGGCCGCTCCGGGGCGACCCGGGCGCCCTCCGACCAAACTGTCACACTACTATCATACTAACAACAAACTCTACATCAAAAGCGGCGAACGAGGCACGGAACCGCACGGTCGCTCTCCGACATGAGGCGCGTTGCACTTGCCAGTGCTGCCCTGGCCTTCTGTCTGCCCGCCCAATGGGTGGCAGGTGCCTCTGCTGCTTTGGCATGCCTCACGGCTGCGACTGGCCGGCGCCTCGGCGCGTCAGCTCGGCTCGGCGTAGCGATAGTGGCCAGCGCAACTCACCTGGACTCAACGCTCAGCCAGGAGCTCCCGCACGCGCTGGCGCGAGGCATGGCGCATGCAACGCGCAGCAATGCTCGCCTCGCCTCGCGCAAATGCGACCGTCCTCGCAGCCGACAGTCCACCGCCTGCTAAAGAAGCACAGCGACGAATGCGGCACCGGCGACGCATGGCAGGCTGGTCATGACGCAGTTATAGGGTGTTGTGTGCCGTCAGAGTGACTCTCTGTGTGTCAGGGATAGTCAGGGCCGTCCATCAGAGCTCCAGTAAGCTCGGAGACACCCCAATTAGCGCGGCTCGACCTCTTTGAGTCACTGCCTTCCCGCGGTTTTGCTGTAGAGCCTCTACAACAAACTCTACAGCAAAATCGCGCTCTACAGCGCTCTACAACGCACGCAGTTCGTCCCGCGCCGGATGTAGAGCTCTACAGCTCTACAGCGCTCTACAGCTCTACAGCTCTACAGCGCTCTACACTCTACATCCTCTACACCCTCCCTCAGAAACAAAACTCTCCCCCAACACACGAAGGTCCAGCGCATACACTACTCCGTCTCCAAAGACCCAAGTTCTCTGTCACAAATGGCTTGTACTTCTCAATTGCCCATGCGCCAAGGCCTGTGCGTGTCTATATGAGAGAGATTTTAGAAGTCAACAAGAATTTTGGCACTGACAGTCTCTCTCTCTATGTTGTCAGACCTCATCACCATCAAAATTCGCTCTTTGCATCAATTGCCACGAAATTGTTGTGAAGACCGTACAACTCTATCCATTCGCTCTTCATAAGACATAACAACAGCGTTCATCAAACATCATCACTTCGGAGCTAGCATGCTAGCTGACATTATGTCATCGATCGACTCATCGTTGGAGCCCATCTGTCGTTCGAGTAGCGGCGAAGAAAAAACGAAAGAAGCACCGACCAAACCCCCTCCCTCCCTCCACGTAGGCCCTCCCCCACAGCCGCCTGTAACCAAATCCCGATAGGCCCAACACATACACATGCATGCAGGCACATTAGACTACATTGACATTGACATTGACATTTGACATTGACATTGTGTAATGCACACGTTTACAATCATCTCGCTCCTGCTCGCCGCGTTGCTACCCGCCGCCAGCGCTATTCGCCGCAACGCGAAAGTTCGCCGCGTCGCCAGGATCGGGGTCGGAGCCACCATCACCGGCGTTGGCGGCCACTCCGTCACGGAGGGTCTCGTCCCACTCGACATCTCGCTTGAGGTGCATGTCGAGACGGACGAGCTCGGTTTCGTGCTGCCGCACCCGGCCTCCGTTTGGGCCGACCCAGCCATGCGAGAGTGTCGCCATCTCCGCCACTTTGTGCCGTGGCAGCCGACCGACGAGCAGCTCCTTTCTCACGACCGCGGCCTCACGCTGCCCAACTCGGAGAGGCTCCGCACGACAGACTACCTCGGCAACGGGCGCTTCCGCATCCAATCGAGGTTCCGGTTTCGGCCAAACGTATCCGCGTACCCGTTTGAGACCGAGCGCTTCCGCTTCGAGCTGCAGCTGCGCGCAGCGCTTGCAGACAGGAGCGGAGAGGCTCTCGACGTGATGCTCTGCGCGATGCCTGAGTTCACCGCCCTCCATCCGCACGCCGACTGGCCCGGCACGACGAGCAACCGCCGCCTGGGGCTCGCGAGCGCCGTCCGACACGCCTGCGAGGCGCCCTTCGAGCGGACGGTGCCCGTCTGCCGCGAGCCGCCTTCCGAGGACATGAGGCTCGGCTGGCTGTCGGTCCCGCACGTCTTTCGGTACGACAAGAAGGGGGCGTGTGTGTGCGAGACGGTGCCCGGCTTCGACCCCGCGAGCGGACTCGACCTCGAGACGTGCGGCTGCATGGGCGGAGTGCGTGCCGCGAGCACCTTTGAGCTCTACGTGGAGGTGAGCTCACTACTTAGCTAGCTCACTACTTCGCTCACTACTTCGCTCACTACTTAGCTCACTCTGCTCTTGCCACCGCCTCCTCCCCAGTGCTGCCTGTGAGCCCCGCTGCCTCTCCTGCGCTGCCTCTCCATCACGCCTTCCCGTCCCGCACGCTCCTCTCCCCCCGCACCTCTGCCCGCCCACCCTCCGACCCCCCGACCCAACCCCCAACCCACCCCTCGACCCACCCACCCCCTCCCCTCCCGCACGCGTGTGCGAGGCGCGCGCGAGTCGCGTCGGCGCCTTCCAGTCGGAGGTCCTCGTCCCGTTCCTCATCGTCCTCGTCGCGCACACCAGCTACATCATCACGCCCCTGTGGCTGGAGACGCGCGCGCCTGCCCTCCCCAGCGAGGCTTCCCCTGGTGTGAGTCCCCTTGAGGCACCCGGGAGCCTCTCCCAGGCGCTTCAACCTGCTCAACTCTGCGCTGATCGCGCTCGTGCTATACCACTCGGCGCTGATGACGCGCTCCAAGCGAAACATCGTCTCGGTCGCGACCAAGTACGACCTCTTCCTCCTCCTCTCCTTCGGCGCCATCCTCGTCTCCTACGCGCTCACGCTCTGGATGATGCAGCTGCAACACTGCGAGAGGCAGAAGCAGCTCTGCCAGCGCCTCTACTACTCCACGCGCCACACGGCCAGCACCGTCTCTCTCTTCCTCTACCTGCTGCTGACGTGGATGTGCGGCCCGCGCGACGGACAGGTCCTCTTCACCACCTTTGTCTTCACCGGCGCGTTCTGCGCACTCGTCGCACTTGGAAACCGCTGCGGCGTCGCCGGCCGCATCTGCGCGCGCCTCGACGCCAGCGTCGACCCCCCGAGCGACCCTGCCCCTCGGCCGCACGGCCCCACCGCAAAGAGCCGCGAGCTCGCCAACCTGCTCAGGCGCTCCAAGGCGAGAGGGCGGCCCGCAGGCGGCCCGGCAGCTGGGCCGGGGGCGGGGGCGCGTGGCGAGCCCCTCCGCCTCGCGACGAGGGCCCCGCCGGTGGTGGACCCCGCCCCCTCCTTCGCGCTCTACTGAGCGCGCTAGGCGTTCGGAGAAGGTTTAGACTTTAGTTAGCCGCGCGTTTTCTTTCTCGTTCTGTGCCACTTGTGTGGTCTGCTTGTGGTAGGTAGGTAAACAAAGAAAGAAACGAAATGGATTGAACATTGGCGAGAGGAATTCTTTCCTTGGTAAAATTCTTTCCTGCGCGAGGGACTGCCTGTAAAAGAAAGAAAGAAAACAGACAACCCAAGGGTACTCAGGTAAAATTCTTTTGTTCGCGCCCCGGCGGCGAAAGGCGCATGGCGGGGTGGCAGCGCCTCCTCGACGACGGACGCTCGAGGTGGGCGGAGACCTTTGCCGAGTCGCTCGCAGTCGTGCGCGGCATCGCCGCACAGCCGCCTCCGAGTGCTGCTGGCTCCGTCTACGAGCTCCTCGGGCCGGGCGTATCTCTGGCCGACGCCGACTTTGCCGCAGAGATAGCGGACGCCGAGGCGCGCGAGGCGGCTCAGCGCGCGGCTCTCGTCCCGAAGCTCGAGCGCCTGGTCGAGGAGCACGAG